GCTATTCAAATGCTTCCTTCTTTGCTTCTGCTCAGTCAGTTTCCCTCCTTAACACCATCCAGAATCCCCTGCCAAGGGGTTGGTGCTCCCCACAGTGGGTTGAGTCCCCCAGGCCATTGACTTAAGACACCCCTAACATGTCCATAGGCCAATTAAATGTAGAGAATCCTTCACTGAGACTCATCAGCCGGTTTGATTTGAGGTTGTATCAAGTCGACAATTAAACCAATCTTGCTACCCGCGACCTGAAGCCTAGCATTTGTCCTTCATAAACTCAAAGCAGCTATATTCCATGTTAGAGTCAGTCAGTCCTTCCTGGCACCAGTACTGATTTCATAACACGGTTCAAATGTGACAAAGGTGACAGCCATGGTCCAAACTCAGCCACCCAGGCACAGAGGGCTCAAGTGGGTTTAGTTCAGAATTCCTAGAGAAGTGGGTACTTAACTTTGAGCCTATTCATAGACCTCTTGAAAACTGAGATCTTGCAGATTGCTCTCTGGTGTGTGTGTGGATGGATGCCGATAGAATGTCAGTCACAGAACCATAATCGCTGAACCCGAAACAGCCGGTAACTCCTCAGATGGGAGCAGTCTTGGGAGGGTACCTGCCGCCATGGGAACATTTCCCTCTATTTACAAAAATGACCGGTTGGGTTTGATGCTGGAAGCTGTAACCCCAGAACCCTAGCGGCTAAGGGGGAAGGGTCAAGGCAGCAAAGCTGACTCCATATAAGTGAACGCAAAGAGAAGGGATTTTTGTTGTTGTTTTGTTTTGCACAGTTTTGGCTGTTTCAACTCATGAACAAACAAGTAACTGGCGTAATTTTTTGAAAAAAACAAAAAACCAAAGGCGTGCAAATACACCTTTGTCTGGCTCCAAAGTCCATGAATTGCATGCTTTTAGCATGCCTTCTGCATGCGTCACTTTGGCAACTTTTAATCGCTGCAGCTAGAAAGGCTAGCAGGCTTAGAGGCGTAGGTAGGATTAAACTTGCATCGCTGTTGATTCTTACGTCCGAATTCCAGACACCGCGCCTTGGCAGAAACGTCAAACTCTGAGTTTATTAGCAACCTAGGCCACTGCACAAGGGGTCATACTGAAAAAGGAGCAGGGTGGTGGGTGGCGGTGGTGTTGAAAGCATCAGATAGAGCTCAAGCAGCCAAACTTTATTTCCACTATCATCAGCACATTTCAAACAATTTCAAAATTGTTCTTCCTTAGAAGTGCGCATCACTCCACTGCCCAGGCTGGCCGCCAATGCATACACGGTAATCCACCGGTCTCAGCCTCCCAAATGCTGGGACTACATACCTGAGCCACCATGCCCAACTCAGAACTTCTCAAAGGGTAAGTTTTAATATACAACATGCAGGTACTATTCCATGCCTGTTGCTAGAGTGTGTGTATACCATGAACGAATGAATGATGAAATTTATGCCCTGGCAATGCTGAAGCATGCATGGGCAGCCCGTATGTAGTGGTTCTGTTGAAATTATCACCTTGGGTTTCATGGTCTAAGTTGATGAGGACAACTGACCAGGCGTCTTCTGCAAGAGGGCACCAGATCTCATTACAGATGGTTATGAGCCATCATGTGGTTTCTGGGAATTGAACTCAGGACCTTTGGAAAAGCAGGCACTGCTCTTAGCCACCAGAGCCTTCTCTTCAGTCCTGTTTCTAAATAGTTTTGTAGCAGATTCAGGGTCACACAGGAGACAGAAATCACACGATACAAACAGGAAAAAATTTATTACATTTATTCTTTGACAACTTCATGTATAATGTATCCATGACTCTCACCCCCAACAAACCCTAAAGTCCCGTTCCCACAGCCATGTTTTTTTTTTTTTTTTTTTTTTTTTTTTTTTTTTTTTTTTTTNTTTTTTTTTTTTTTTTTTTTTTATTTTGTGTCCCACTGAGTTTAACCAGGGCCATTCACAGAAGATGGGTGGGAGCTATCCAATGCCTACACTAACTGAAGACAATTCCCCCTTCCCCAGCATCCATGAGTATTTTCCCGAGGGGAAGGGACCTGAAAACCTCATCAATGGGAAACGATTTAACAATTATTAGCTAGAAGCTCATCAACTAAAGAGGAGTAAGATGCAAAAAGACACCCAAGTAGCAGGGTCTTTGAAGAAAAAGTTTTGTCTTAAAACAGGGTTCCAGAGATGGGGGGCGCTCAACCCCACCCTCCCAACTTGTTTCCACCATAAGGAAGACCTTGCTGGACGGCACGGGCCAGAGTGGCCCAGTTGGATCTGTTCACAGTAGTAGCTCAGAGGCAGCCCAGCTGCCCTGCTCAGACAGCTAGGTTCCCTCTGCTGAGGACGCCTCCCTGCTCACAGCTAGGCTCCCATGCCGGAGCTCCGGCGCCCTCTAGTGACGCAGCTCAGTGCTTGTCAGCAAAGAGTAAGTCTAGCGCGTCCAGCTCTGGTGGAGTTTGGAGCCAAGCAGAAAGGTGCCACAGTTTACTGCTGAGAGCAGCTCCCACGCATAACCGCACTGCCTAATACAGCAGCTACCAGCTGTGCGTGGAGACCGAGTCGTCTGAACTGAAACGTGCTAAAATGCCAAACATATGTAAATTCTTAAAGAGCCCCCCCTCCGCCAAAAAAAAAAAAAAAAAAGCAATGGGAGTATCTCACAGATTTGTTATATCAATTCAAACCCTAACAGCATTTTGGGGAAAGTTAAATAAGATACAGCAACATGAATTTTCACTTTTAAAATGGGAACATTGAAACTACACAGGTATGTGCAGCCTGCGTACGTGTGTACACCACATTGCAGTAACACCGGGAGCTAGCTAGGGCTAGAAAACATTTCTAGGAACCAGCAAGGAAATGGCTGCTCTCGCTGTACTCTCTCCTCCCCAGGTTTGCCAGCTTTAATCCCATGACATTTGGGTGCTGGCAGCACCACTGGGTCCCCCAGTACACCTGTCACTGACACTTGAGCCTGTGTGGGTCTCAGTCATCTTCCTTCCCCCCCCCCCCCCCCCCCCCCCCCCCCCCCGTCTTCTACCACGGCTTTCCATCATGCGTACTCGCTACATAAATCAGTCTCAACTAAAGCAGGTGCAGAATTCACAAAAGAACATAGTGTCCACCCCCACTGGACACTGACCTCTTAAGCCATGCAAGTCTTGGGCTTTCTGTTTCCACATTCACTCAGAGAAAGGGAGATGGAACAGAACTCCATTTGTTTCCAACCAATTTGTGAAACCCTTCTAGGGTTTTACTAACTATAAAATAAGGTGTACTATGCTTACTAAAGACATTTTCCCCAACTTTTGTTCTGTGTATTTTACGTAGAGGTTGCAATAGAAAACGTGTTCTAGCCAGTGTGGTGGTGCACTGCAGTTATGTCTTGCAGGAGGCTGAGGCAGGAGCTGGAGTCTGATGCTGACCTGGCTATACTGTGAGCTCATGCATCTAAACCAATGTCTTACTCCATGTTCTAGCTTGAAAGACATGGCAGTCCTAGGCAACTTGGATTGTTACAGATCCGTTTGTCCTAAAATATTGCAAGAGTAGTAAGTTACAAATCTACTACTAGGAACGGGAAGGAAGAATCAGCCGTGGCTGGGTCAAGATACATTGTATAGATGTATAAACTCATCAAAGAATAAAGGATACTTTTAAAGAACAAACAAGTGTCTGGAATTTAATGATCCCAGCCCTCAGGAAGCAGAGGTAGGTTGGCCTACTAATTCAAGGCCAACCAGGAATAGTGAGACTCAGTTATAAAGCAAATAATCCTAAACAATGGGGAGGAGGGGCAAATCAACTGAACAAACACTTCTCAAGTAGGACAAGAAATATGGAGTTAGAATTTAACATGGCAAGGCTTGCCCAGGTTAACCTGATACGTCCTGTGTTTGCTACCAGATCTTTTCACACATACACACACACATACTATACGATCTGAAAGTACACAAGACAATCTATTTCTGTTTATACATCCTGTGCATAGCTCATTTTCAATTTTGAAGGGAACCCTCCCCCAAAATCAATTTACTGCAACTGTTGCCTACAGATGCCCACCAACTTCCTATTTTAAGAAAAGAGATATGAAACGCTTTGCTTCTGAAATGGACTTCAGAATGTCCACCAGTTTAAAACTGGATCCACAAAGAAACACATTATCCTAAACACAGGGCAACTTCCTAATAGCAGATGCGAGGACACCAACTCGATTGGCAGAGATAACGTAAACTCTGTTTACAACGTGGGGGAACTGGAGGGACAATTCTCAACAATTTTTTTTTTCAAGACAGGTGTTGTGTGCTCACCCTCTTTCCCTCCCACCACCCATCTCTGCCTCAAGCTTGTGGATCAGGACGTAAGCTCTCAGATACTGCTCCAGCACCATGCTCCCCCATCAAGATAGGGGACCACTTTGAGCCCGCAAGAAATGCTTCCTTTTATAAGTTGCCATAGTCATGGTGTTTTGTCATGAAATAACTGAAGCAGGGTCCAGTGCCCTCTCCTGGCCTTTACAGGCATTGCATGCACATGGTGCGCCTACACCCATGCAGGCAAACCACCCCCACACATAACAATTAAAAAGAACTTCTCAATAAACAGCTACTGAACTGTTACAGAGAAATGTTCTTCAACAATTTTATTCCATACAAAACATTTCCCCAAAGAAATATTACTACTGTGTTTATAAACAAGTCTGGTGAAGTTGTAAAGGTACTTGACAAAAATGCCTTTTCATTTCTTGAAAGAAATTCTTTTGACGTCATGCTACACAAGTGCCAGGTGTGAACACTGACTTGCATTTTTTTTTAAGTGTGCTTTTAACTGGATGCTATCAGCACTGGTAATGGCATGAAATGGTACCTTGTAATAAGTACTGTATAGTACATGGAACATGTATACGCGTCTGGGGAAATGTGTGTGTATGTTTATATATGTGTGTGTGTATATATATATATATATATTCAATGAACATTCAGTCATTTAATAAACTTAGTATCAGCACACTAAACTTTATATGATTTATTTTAAATGATTGCTGGTTCCAAATAATTAAAAACCACAAACTGTATGGCAGCAACTATATCACATACACAGTTTTTTAAGAGTTCTTTAGTTATCACATAACAGTGGGATATGAGTTTTAAAAATACAAATGATGTTTGTAGCATAAGGCTCTGTGGTAGAATCAGCAGATTAAAGACAAACACCAGGGAAGCCTCCTGGAGAGTGAGACGTGTCCCTGTTGGAACTACTTCCCTCCTAACAGTGACAGCTTTACAGACACTGAATATCCAAACCAAGATTCTGGAACTCCTAGAAAAGAACTGAGTTTCAGTAGTAGGTACCTAACGGGGGCTGGACTTCATGGCAAGCTAACATTCAATCTGTTGGTGTTCAATGGCTCACTCATTTTTACGGGTTATTACAGCTTAAACAATATGGCAGAAATCTCAAAAGTTTACTCATTAAATATAGTTTAATTATTATTTTTTTTTTACAAATCTCCTTTTGAAAATGTAATTCATATGTGCTGCAACTTCAGAAGTTTGAATTCAAACTCAAGTACGAAGGCAGGGGCGGGGAAGCCGGGTCCAGGCGCTCTGTCTGGTTTCTGTACAATGGCTCTCCTGTGGTACAACAGGAAAAAGGTGATCCTAAAGATATTCAAGTAAAGGCAGAAATACATTGCTATTTGAGGCAGATCATGCTAAAATATAATTCACAATGATTAGTTTGCATTTAAGATGGTTAATAATGCTTTTAAACCAGTGAAATTAACGTAAATTAAGATTTGCAGCATTTTTACTGTCTTTTGCACGAAGCATAAGTTCCTTTGAAAACTAAGACTGGAAGAAGCAAAGGACCCGATGCTTCCCCTTCATGTTACCATCCCCTGTCACACAGGGCAAACAAACCCACACAGAACCCAGACTCTTCCCACTGGTGAGGACAAGAGAATACAAAGGTGAGAGAACAGGTGAGTGCCCAGCTACCGTCAACACAAGGCTTTAATAACATGAAGATTTACAAGCCAAAATAAACATCTGATTTAAAAACTGGTATTCAAGATAACTCGGTTGTCCTTTCGCACTTTGAGACTAGTAAGGACTGGATCTTTAAAAACCTGAAGAGGAGGTTTTGTAGAGGAGAAAATCCTCAACGCTTTAAAAAACTGAACTGGTTAAAATCCACACAACTCCTGCGCTGGCTGGCATGGAAGCAGGTGTTCTCCGTCACAGAAACAAGCCACTGCCCCCCGGGAGCAGTTTCTTCAAGCCAGCTGCACGCCGATTTAAGTCTGCTCACCCATGACTGAACTGCAGCAACCTTCGAGGAGCAGCACGGGACGCCTCACCCGAAAAGATCTTTCAGATCGTTGCTAGCTGAACTGCTACTGTTCATGGTAGCTGGTGGCTGTGCGAAGTTCTGCGGGTTAAAGAAAGGGTTGCCCTGCATACCAAAGGCAGCCTGTCCCATCACATTCGCCTGTACGCCCATGGCTGCGCTGCCCATACCTGGGGAACCCTGAGGAGGGACAAACTGATTCAGCCACTGATTTGGTTTCTGCTGGGATAGCTGGTTCATGCTAACTTTGGGTTTCTGAGGGCCGAAGAGGTTATTAAGGGCCGACATATCGGCCGGTCTCTGCTGAGCCTGCTTCACAGCAGCGGGAGGAACACTCAAAGGGCTGTAGCTCGACAGCGTGGGAGCCGCTCCCAGAGTCATCGTGGTCACTCCAGCGGTGCTTGAACCGCTGAAGAAGTTCTGGTTCGGGTTGACCGGCATGCTGAATCCTGAAGTCTGAAAGGCCATGTTGGCATTCAGGCCATTTGTCAAATTTCTCTTTGTATTATCAATTGGTGTAGAAAACATCATGTTGAGGCCCGTGGAAGGAACAGATGTGAAGGTACTTGAAGCGGAAAGCTTAGGAGTGCTAACGGAAAGGCTGGTCAAGGAGGTGATGTTATCCATCAACGTATCTGTCAGGTCCTTAGTCTGAAAAAGAGGAGCAAATGACTGTCCAATTAGTAAGCATGGACAGAGTTTGATAAAGCACAATGCCAGTCAGGCCAGGGATCTCCACCCAGTCAATTAGCTACGGCCTGCAGCCACACAGTGACCACTAATGTGAGTAACAGCTCCTGTCAGCGAATACTGGCAATCATTTGATAACAGTTATGGGCAATCTAAACTACAGGTAAGTGAGATGCTCCCGAGGCAGAACTGTGCTCTTTCCAGCAGAACTGTGTCATAAACAGGATAATTTTATATTTTTTATTTTGAATTTCACCAACATTTTTAGGAATTTAACTCCTCTATTCTGTAAGAAGCTAACATTTATTCTGGACTATGCCCCTTAGCCCACAACATTTCCTCCTGAGGAAGAGCCATGGTGACTGAAGACCAGGAAGCAGTGAGCTGAACACCGCTGAGCTGCACCAGCGAGCCTGCACTCTGCAAGCAGGGGCTGCCCAGGGAAGCAGCGCCAGCATCAGGAACAATGCCCAGAACACAGAGGGAATCAATGTGCTCAGGTGATGTAGGTGCCTCTTCTAAACCCAAGCTACAAAGTCAGACAGAATGGAAAAGTCAGAAACAGCAGCTCCTTCCAGCTGAGATACACTTAAGGGTGTGAAGAGAATATTCCTGATAATGGCACTATTAATCCACATCATTCTTACGTTTCCTCTTGGGGTAAACACTGCACATGGGGCAGGGTGCTCAGGAGCTGCTGGACAGCCTAAGTTGCACCTTTAAGTCACTGCTTTGTCATGGTAGTCTCTAAACGCCTCTGCCCGAGCACTAGCTGCTTACCACTCGGCTCCTTACCATCGAGGACACTTGATGCAAAAGAAACGCACCTGTTTGCTGGGTGCAATGGGAGTGTGGACTTGGGGCTTCAGAGGCTGCTGGCTTTTCAGCTTCTGTGCCTGCTCCTGTTCCTTTGCTAATTTCTGTTTTTCTTCAAGTGTAAGCGATGCCTAAAGCAAAACAAAAACAAAACAAAAGAAAACTCACCCACAACTTTATTCTCCGTCTGTAGAGTGATGTTTCTTTTCTGGTAAGGTGTGAGCACACTTGGCAATGCTTCACTACGTCAGGGGCAAGCAAGCGATCCGGCACTGGTGACTCAGGTGGAATCTCACCCAAAGTTCATTAGAACTACCTGGTTCTTTAAGAGTAACTGATTTTATTCTTGCTCAAATTTAAATCTCAGTCTAAAACGCTCATGAGTCAGATATAATGGCAAAGACCTGTGATCCAGCCATTTGAAAGTCTGAGACAGGAGGACCACAAATTTAGTGACTGCCTGGGTTACAGTGAGTCCGAGGCCAGTCAGTACAACTCACAGAGACTGTAGCTCAGAACACAACTAAAGAGAGGAGCTAGAGCCCAGTGTGCTAGCGCACACCTTTAATCCCAGCACTCGGGAGGCAGAGGATCTCTGTGAGCTCAAGGCCAGCCTGCTCTACAGAGTGAGCTCTAGGACACTCATGGACGGCCTCGCAGAGAAACCCTGTCTCAAAAAACAAAATGAAACAAAACAAAAAAACGGGAGCTACAGGGATGACTAATGGCAGACTTGAGTAAAGCTAGACACAGCACACCTGTGATCCCAGCCTGGCTCCACAGCTGTGCACAAAAAAGCAAGCACTGGCACCTGAGTTACCCTGACCACCACATACACACATGCACACGCACAGGAAAAGCCGCAAGTGAGAAGGCTCAGCAGATAAAGAAGCCTGCCACCCGGTCAGATGACCTGGGTTCAATCCCTGGGTCTCCCCCCTGCTGGAAAGGCACCAAATGACTCTCCTACTTTTCCTCAGACCGTCACACAATGCCCTGGAGGGCACACATGCATACATACAACCACATACAAAGTAAGAAAATAAATAAACATAATAAATTTAAGTAAAACGTGGCCTGGGATTGGAGTTCAGTGCTACAGTACTTTCCAAGAATTCCCAAGGCCCTCAGTTCAATCTTAAGACCACAACATGTATAAGGGAAGGCCAAGGAAGGCCAAGGAAGAACTGAACAAACATTCCTTTACTGTGAGTGCTACATAGGGCTGTGTCTGTCTCTGCACTCATCTAGTTTGCTAAACAGCAAGCTCACAAGACTTTCTTTTTCAGTTTTGTGAGCCCCTGTGTTGTCACATTAGCTCTATACACAGATAATCCTACTCTGTAAATAAATACAAAAATGGACGCAACAGTAATAAGAAATTTATTTTCACTTGTTGGCTAGAAACCAAAATTTCAATAGGAAGTATTATCTTAAGGTTTACTATTCAAAATCATAAGGACAGCAAATCTTTAAAAAGGAAACAGACAAAGCCTATACTCAGATCTTAAGTCCTTGTAGAATAAAACTGCATCTAATTGAAATCTTTAAAATAGCATTCCCCATTAATAAAGTATGTCAACATTATATATTCTTAATAAAATAAATCAAGACGGGTCCCACATCATATTTTTAGTATTCTTGCCAAAACTGTGTAACCTGGGCTGGGGAAGTGGCTGAGCAGGTGTGGGCACTTGCCATCAAGTCTGACAACTGATACTGATCCCAAGACTCACACTCAAGAAGGGAACTAACTTGTGAAAGTTGTCCTCTGACCTCCAGTGTACACCATGGCATGGGCACGCTCACATATGCACACACAGAGTGAGAGAATAAGTAAAATAAACGTATAACTTTAGTCTACTTATGAGGAAACGTCAGCCAGTTCCAATCTGAGCATCATGTTACCCAACAACTGACAAGGTAGTCTGTGTGTACGTCAGGGTAAAATAGATGTGGAGGCTCAGGCCTCTAACTCCTGCAGAAAGGTAAAGGCAAAAGACCAGAAGGTCAAGACTAGCCACTGGCTATATAGAAAGTTCAAGTCCAGCCTGAGCAAGATCAAAAACAAAAACAAAAAAAATCAACCTGAGTGAATATCTGAGGCCATAAAAGTTAGGTATCGCCATGGAATAAAAACCAAAGAAAGTCAAGGGTGCTGGTCTAACAAAGAACATCTAACAATTCAGCATGCACACTGACAGGAATGTAGTAACAAGAGAATTCAGACGATGAAAAGCTGGACTGGAGAGCGGGCTCAGTGGCTAGTTCCAGCGGGCCCGAGTTCGGCTCCCACACCTGTTATCAGGCAGCTGACAGCTCCCTACAGCTCAAGCATGGGGGGATCTGACGCCCTCCTGGCCTCCGTGAGCACCCGCACTCATGTGTACAGCCCTCTCACCACCACAAACACACACCGTTGAAAAAATAAAAGAGCCAGGCATGGTGGCACAAACCTTTAAACCCTGCATTCGGGAGGAAGAGGCAGGAGGATATCTGCGAGTTTGAGGTCAGCTTGGTCTATGGAGCGAGTTCCAGGACAGCTAAGGCTATTGCACAGAGAAACCCTGTCTCAAAGATTAGATTAGATTAGATTAGATTAGATTAGAGAGAGAGAGAGGAGAGAGAGAGAGAGAGAGAGAGAGAGAGAGAGAGAGAGAGAGAGAGAGAGAGATTGGTAGGTAGATAGAAAATAAAAAACAAATTGTAATTGCTGACAGGTGGCAATTCCTAAGTGGCCAGGCAGTATAGCTGCAGGTGCTGGCATCACAGGCAGAGCTAAGCAACGGAGACAAGGCACCATGGGTGTGTGTGTGGGGGGGGGGTAACAAAGGAACCCAAAACATCTTATGCACACTCCTTCCCAACACAGTGCATAGACAGCTAGAGACGACTCCTTGTTAAGAGGCTACACATATTCCCAGTATTCCCAGCAAATATGTGTGGTTTATGGAAGTCTCACAACAGAAATGCTTTCTTTTAAGGTCGAGAAACTTACTCTTTTCTGCTTATTCTGCAGCCCATCTTCTTTATTTTCGGATTCGCCCCCAGTTAGAAGGTCTGTTCCAATGTTGTTGAAGACCTTGTCCATCTGCTGAGATACAAGTCCAACACTTGAAGACACCCCAATAAAAACGCCCTTTTGTCCCTTGAGTAAGGCTAACTCTCAGGCATCTTCTGTGAAAATGGGTGTCTTCTTACCTGACTTCCGGCATGTGTAACACCCGTCTCCTCGGAAGCATTCATTTGATTTCCAATCTCCAAAGACCTACAAGACGGGCAGAATTATGGAAGGTAGTTAAATGAAACCAACTTCATTCCTTAGCTCAGATTCTCCCACTATTATTGATGAGTATGATGATGACATCTGGGCCACAGAAGTCTCATGACCAGAATCCAACCCCCAGAACCCACGTGACAACATCAGATGTGGGGCACGCATCCGTATGTCTAGCAACCCTACAGCAAGACATGGGGCAAAGAGCAGAGAGTCAACTGGAAGCTCCAGAGCCAGCAGCAGCTCTCCCATAGTGCACAGCGCAGCGGAAAGAGAGCCCTCCTGAAAGCCGTCACCTGAGCAGTGGCTGCATGCATCTGCACTCATGCGCACACATCACACTCACACTCATATTCCCTCTCTCAAAATAAACAATTTGAAAATAGCTCTGCTTTTTTTTTTTAATTCAACATTTAGGATTTGGGGCAAGAGGCTGGAGAAATGGCTCCGTAGTTAAGAGCACTTGCTGCTCTTCCAGATAGGCTTCCGTCCACCCACATCACGTGACTTCCACACACCTGTAACTCCAGGTTCAGAGCTATCCAATGCCCCAGACTACAAGGCCACCCACACACATGCATGCATGCACACACACACACACACACACACACACACACACACACACACGATAAATACACCATGGGGAAAATATTTAGATCAAGGACATGGCTCAGCAGGTAAAAGTACTTGTATGTGCCAAGCCTGCCAAGTGGAGCTCAACTCCCTGGGATTCACATATCAGAAGGGAAAACCAAGTCCTACAAGGTGTCTTTTGACCCCCACACATGCCATGCTTGCATGGCTCATGTGCCTCACATACACATTAACGAATAAACACCAAAATGTTTGGATAGAGGCTCCTGCCCTAACCCCCTCCTATGGAGTTGCCTCAGTCCAGATTCCGCCCTCAAAAAGCCCACGATCAGTGGCTCCATCCCCCAGGACATTAAAATCCCCCACCTCGTGAGTTCCCCTCGTGGTCTCCCAAACTTCACTTGGGGAAATCCTGATATAGATATGAATAATTTGCATTGGTATGGATCTTGGTTTATTGATACAAATTTAAGGTCAATTTTGTGACATTTATATGTATTTCTGATCTTGAATAAGGTACTGTGTTTGTGTAGCTCATTTGAAAATATAATATATAATTAAGAAAAATAATTTAATAGATACTCATCTATAATAGTCAAGCTTGTAGTCATATTATATTTTCTAGATGTATAGAGATATATTTCAGTTATACTGATATTCTTCAAATCTTCCAGAGGCCTTCAGAGTATGGCATTTAAAAATGTTTAAAAACTTAAGACTTTTCATGACAGTGAGACACATCTGCTCCTGGCAGCACCAATTACTTCAAGAGGAAGAAGAGCATCGAAGAGGCTCCTTATGGAGTTGGTTAGCCATTTGGGCAAGAGACTACTCTTGCCTGGACTGTTGCATAAACTGGACATGCAGAACCCATAGAGAAATGACTGCTGAATTTGCCTAAAGGTGAGACAATCCTTTGGGGGTTCCTGCCATACGAAAGAGTCTGCAAAACATTCTGCAGGAAACAGAAATGTGATGGACAAGCTGCCAATACAGGTGGAACTGTCTTTGAAATGTCCTGCTTCATGGAAAAGTTTGCTGGATACTATGGGTATGTGGGCTGAAGACGGATATCCCAATGGTACAGAAGAATTCTGAGTGATTGCCCAGGTAGCCAGTTGTCTCTGTCATTTGTTGCACATTTTGGAAGTTGCCTTGACTGCACTTCCTACTTAAGTAATATTATTTTCCCTTCTTGGCTCTTCAATAGAGTTGAAGACTAGATAGTTGTAGTTACTTTCCTCTCATGACTTGGCCAAGTTATTTATATACAAGACTTAAACTCATTAGGATAGGATAATTATTGAAACATTTGTCATGTTTCTGGCATGATATTGTTACTGCAGGTTGTAATTCTAATTTTTATACCTGATATTTGTTCTTATTGTATATATCTTTGTATTGGGTTTAGAACTTTTTTATTTAAACGGAAAAGGGGAGGTAATGTGGGATTCCCCTCTGTATGCTGTGAAAACCATTGGTTAATAAAGGCTTGGCCTATAGCAAGGTAGAACTTAGGCAGGGAAAACTAAACTGTATGGTGGGAGAGAGAAGGGTGGAGTCAGAGAGAAGCCATGGAGCCACTGGAGACAGATGCTGGGAACTTTAACCAGTAAACCACAGCCACGTGGCGATACATAGATTAATAGAAATGGGTTAAATTAATATGTAAGAGTTAGCCAATAAGACGCTAGAACTAATGGGCCAAGCAGTGACTTAATTAAAACAGTTTCTGTGTGGTTATTTTGGAGCTGAGCAGCTGGGAACCAACAAGTGGCCTCCAACAACAACTGGCATGCCAACATGGTGGACTGAATCCATGTGAAACCTGAGAGGGCTTGAAAAAAACTCTAGACACAAGACAACAAACGACAGTTTTTTTTTTTTTTTCCAGCTGGTGGCTTGCGCAGCTCCTTTAAGAGAGATTTTCCTGATTCAGCTGTAGCAGGAAAAAAAGCCATGCCATTTTGAAATGTAGGCTTTCTGGGACGTGCTGCCAGCGCGATCTCTGGCTCTTTCAGGAGATTGAGTATTTGGATGGGATTTGTTGAGCAGTGTGCTGCGGCTTGGTTATGTGCATAGCTCCCAAGAGGTACAAGTGGCTCCACCGTGCTGGACTGGTTGGGGCAAGCAGACGGTACCGTATTTGACCTAGAATGCCGCAGCAGAAGTTTTAAGATAAGAAACACTCCTGGACAGTAAATAATTACAGCTATCAGGACAGATTCAGATATAAAAGACCTCTAAACGGGTCCTGGTGTTGGATAAATGTACGTAGGCTTGAGAGAGAGAGGAGAAAGAGTATAGAGAGTTGAAAATGAAGTAAATTGTTTTTTTAAAAAAAAGTCTTTACCAAGTATGATTTTTTTTATGTGAATGTTGGAATCTGAAATCTGGTCATCATCACTACATAGCAAGCTCTGTTACCTGCCGAGCCATCTTCTCATCTCCTCCTCTCTAGTTTAAAGGAAGAAACTGGTGGTAGAAAAAAATCAAACTATAAAGAAAGTACAGATATTTCTAAATCTCCATTAAATTGGTTATTTTAAAAAAAGTCTTTAATGACACAGAATACAGATAGTAATAGATTAAAAGGAGTAAAGAAAAATAAGCCACGTAAAAATTGAAAATTCAGCGTCTGGATTATGTATATTATTATGTTATCTTTGAATTTTTTTTTTTTTTTTACTGTGAATGAGCTAAGTACAGAGAGACATTTCACTGTATGGGCTGCTAAGCTAAACCAGCATGTATACTATAAAGGTATTATAACTTCCAAATGAGGGTCTAAGGATATGTTGCTTTGAAAAAGAGGTTCTCTTGTTTCCAAAGAGGATGAGAACCTGTGGATTGCTTCCAGACTGGTGTGGTTTGATGGAACAAGACCCCTGGAAGGTCGCCATGAACACCCCCAAAAATTACTATGCCCAACAATCAGCAGGAAGAAGTATGGAGAAAACTATGCCCATATTCCCGAATATTACCTATAAATTTAAAGGGGGATATTATATAGATATCAATAATTTGCACTGGTATGGATCTTGGCTTATTGATACATATTTAAGGTCAATTTCATTATATGTATATGTATTTTCGATCTTGTTCAAGGTATTGTGTCTACATAGCTCATTTAAAAAATGTAATGTATAATTAAGCAATGTAAGTTAACAGATACTCAACTATAACAGTCAAGATTGTAGTTGAGTTAGATTTTCTAGATATAAAGAGATACATTTCAGTTAGATAGGGATTCTTCAAATCTTTCAGAGACCTTCAGAGTATGGCATTTAAAAATGTTTAAAAACTTAAGACTTTTCATGACAGTGAGACACATCTGCTCCTGGCAGCACCAATTACTTCAAGAGGAAGATGGGTATCAAAGAGGTTCCTTATGGAGTTGGTTAGCCATTTGGGCAAGAGACTGCTCTTGCCTAGACTGTTGCATAAACTGGACATACAGAACCCACAAAGAAATGATTGCTGAACTTGCCTAAAGGTGAGACAATCCTTCGGAAAGAGTCTGCCAAACATTCTGCAGGACACAGAAAATGTGACAGACAGACTGTCTTTGAAATGTCCTACTTCATGAAAAGTCTGCTGGATACTATGAGAGTGTGGGCTGAAGATTGGGTACCCCAATGGTACAGAAGAACTTTGGGTGACTGCCCAGTTAGTCAGTTGTCTCTGTCATTTTTAGAGTGTTGGAAGTTGCTTACAATGCACTTCCTGTTTACTTAGGTAATATTATATCCTTCTGGAGTCTTTGATGAAATTGAAGAGTAGATCGTAATAATATAGTTTTCCTTAGTTATGATAAGAGATAAAGTAGACATAAATAATGTATCTGTAATTCTTGCTCGATACCTGTTTTGTTATATGTAATTTTACTGTGTTAAAGTTAAAACCTTCCTTTTTATTTAAACAGAAAAGAGGAGGTAATGTGGGATTCCCCTCTGTATGCTGTGAAAACCACTGGTTAATAAAGGCTTGGCCTACAGCAAGGTAGAACTTAGTTAGGCAGGGAAAACTAAACTGTATGGTGGGAGAAAAAAGGGTGGAGTCAGAGAGAAGCCATGGGGCCGCTGGAGACAGAAGCTGGGAACTTTAGCCGGTAAACCACAGCCACGTGGTGATACAGATTAATAGAAATGGGTTAAATTCATATGTAAGAGTTAGCCAATAAGACACTAGAGCTAATGGGCCAAGCAGTGATTTAATTGATACAGCATCTGTGCAGTTATTTGGGGGCCGAGCAGTGGGAACTAACAAGCGGCCTCCAACAATACAACCCAGGAGTGCTTTGCTCAGATAAACCTGGATTACTTATTAGGTTAGCAGCAAGGAGATCCCTTAACTAGGAATTAAACTTCACCAAACGTTGAGTTTTCTGGCTGCCAGCTGGCTGCGAGAAAATCACTCTTCATTCCCCACTGTTGGTCAGACTTGCTCAGTGAGTTATCCAATTTCATGCTGCAGCCTCTGAAGGGGTCCAGGAGACTTTCTGCCTTCTGTCTGTGAAGGTACTGCAGTGACAGATGGCTGGCCTGTTCTGGGGTAGAAACAGTCTCTACCATTTGGGGCCCGTGTATGGGAGCTATCCTGCACAGGGGTACCCCAAACCTCCTACTGTTTTGACCCTAGGCTATTTTCGGAGGATGCTCTGTCTTAGTCTCCGGGTTTCTGGCTAATGGTTTATGAATGGGTACTTCCAGGAACAAGCTTGCTCCCCAAACACCCTATAAAATTTATCCATACTGGGGCTGAGCTACCCTGGCCAAGTTCCTGAGCTCTGCATCCTTGCCCCCTTCTCCTTCAGCTGTCCCTAGCCTTTCTTGGATGCTCACTCTTAACTCTGTCTGTGTTCCCCAGAGGTTAAGCTGCAACCTGCCATATCCTCCACATGGCCCAGCCCCTCTGACGCTCCTCCTCTGTTCCTCAGAGCCTTCTCCATGCTCTGGGCAGCAGGCTGGCCCAACCTGGTAAGAGCTGCCTTACCACCATAAATCACCTTTCATTCTTATGGTTTCTTTCTATCTTTGGGATTTTTAAGTGGGTCAGCTGACAGTGTCCTGGGAAAAGTTCTGTTTATCTGTCAGAGTGCATGTATAAATAATGTAGCTACAGAATGCTTGTTTTAAAATCTGTAAAACTTGTAACTCCAGATTACAACTGCTCTGGAAAAATATAAACACATGGACAGCTGCCATTTCAGCTGAGGTCAAAACAAAAACGTCAGCACCATCTTTACTAAGGACACCCACCTATGTGCGTTGGCCCTACCACGGAGTCATTCCACTCCAATATACTTTGGCTTATGATATATATCTATATGATAATTCCTGTCCTGTCCTATAACAATGCTGATTTACTGAGATATTAAAGGTGCATCTCTACATTCATGTATACAAGTAAATTTTGCTGGCAGACAAATTTTTCAACTTAAGAATAAACCCCTCCGTGCTAATTTAAAACACTAAATTGTTTACAACACTAAAACTTCGTTTTGCCTTGTACAGATTAAAATTATGCTCTTGGTCTCAGGACAACTAAAAACTAGAGACTAAAATATTCCTTCTAATCCTCTTGCCTCTGAGACATTGGTACACTGTAACTAATTGGGCAAACTGTTTATCCAAATTTAACTTTTATGTCTAATTTAAAAATATCAGACAGATAAAGGTACCCTGATTCTCACGTGCATATGAGTATGGTATTTAAAAAAAAAAAAAAAAAAAAAAAAACTTCTTATGATAGAGACATGCTAGCTCCTGCACCATCCTGTAGCTCCTACAAGAAGAAACATGGCTGGAGAACTTCCTCCTGGAGGCTCTGGATGTGGCAAGGCCACCCACATGGCAAAAAGCTGCCTTCCACCCCATCAGCTACCTTGTCCCTGCCTGGAATGGATGTCAGAACTCTGGGGGAATCGGACGTCTCATCCTGCCAAGACAGACTGAACCCAACCCCAACAGGAGAATCTGCAGGACTAATCTACTGGAAAAAATTTAAATGCATCACATATAAGCAAATGAAAGAGCCATCCGTCTTCCTACTGAGTGCTGCCCTGGCAGCCCTGGCCGGCATGCCGCACGTGCACAGCTGCTCACCTCTGCTGCTCCTGCATCATGTGAAGCTGCTCCAGCTTAGTCCTGTGCTCAGACTCCAGCCTGCTCAGCATCTCCTTTATGACGGCAATGAAAGAGCTGAACTGGCACGGTAAGAGACAGAGACGGTGAGGACGTCAGTCACGACAACTCCGCAGTTAATACTAACGGTCTGCACTCTCCCCGGGGAACAGGACTCACTGCACCAGACACAGCGCAGTTCGTTTAAACTCCCAATACCAAAGCCTTCAGTCTTTGTATGGAGGGGCAGTATGGCTGATAAAGCTTTTAGGGTCTGGTATTTTAAATTTATTTTATTTTATGTGTATGAATGTTTTGTCTGCACGCATGTATGTGCACCACGTGCATGGTGATGTCCACAAAGATCAAAAGAGGGCATCAGAGCCCTTGAATCTTGATGGTTATGAACTATCATGTGGGTACAAAGAACCAAACTAGGTCCTCTGCAAGAGCAACAAGTGCTCTCTCTCCAGTTCCCTGGAAATGTTTTATAACATCCTCAATCAGACAGAGAAAACAACGAAAACTCAAGAACTGTTCTGGGCCTATTCCTCTTCACAGTCAGGGTCTCCCATCTGCCAGCCCTAACCTGACAGCCCAGGTAAACACAAAGCATTAAATCTAGGAGCAGAGGATAAAGGCTCACCTTACTACTTCAGACGCAACGTTGGGTCTGATTAACTTTCTCCACCTTCAAAACTCTGCCCGTTAAGAACTCTTCTCCAATGCTCAACCCTTCCTCCCTCTCAGCTCGTCATTCTTCATTGCTGTTACTCACTTTTCCACCTAATTCTAAGTCTTCCCTGCCTACCTACCACAGGTCCTCAATTAAACAGTAATTTGGCTCAGTCTTTTACACGTCCCATTAGACACCAGGCTCCTACCGTCTTCTTCTGATTCCATTTCTCTTCCTGGGCTACAGTGAAGAATAAGCAGAAGACCCAGCCTCACGGAAGCTATAGTGCCACAGTCTCAGTGCACACACAGCTGTGAAAACTACAGCAACAGGGGTGTGCAGAAACAATTCTGTAGCAACTTTTCTACACACATTTCTCCTGTGCTCAAACATTTACCACATCTTCACAGTTCAATACCTAAAGCAAATAGGTATTCAAGTCCATCCCTTCTCATCTCACTTCATCTCTCCAGTCCCCTGTCCCTGAACTCTCTATGTCACTGTGTGCTCGCCTATGATGAGTGGCGAAGACCGTCACTTCCTTTAGGACATAACAAGACCCTGACTTCAGTCTGACAAAACAAGGCTACTATCTGGGAGAGAGCTATGTGTACAGAACTGATAACATACAGCTAAGACTAAGACCCTCAGCCTAATAGCCCAGAAGAAGCCAAATCCTACAACAACCGTTTAAGAAAACTAAGAAGCAGATGATTGCCCAGATGGACCTTCAAATGAGACCCAAGGTCTTGATTATAGCACGGTAAGAAACTCTCATTCTGGAATAAATTCAACTAAGCCGAGTCCTGGTGTGGTTGATCATAGAAAATGTACGATTAGTAAGTAAGCATTGCTTAAAAATACTAAAACACTTGTGTATGGTAATTTTTTATGTAGCAATAACATCCAAACAGACTGTCACTTTGCTCATATCAACACACGGCCCCAAATTTAAAGTAGATGCAATCTCAGCACCCTGCTCATCACCTCCTCTAATGAGGCCTTTGAGGACTATCCTTCTACTCCATAACCTTAACTAACTCTGTGGGGCATGTTTTACTTTTTTGGCCACCTATATCTGTAATATAATACAAGCACACAATACAAGTAGCAAAAAGAAAAAAACAATCAAATACACATAAAATATTCCCACCTGATTGAGGTTAAGATTGTTTTCAATACTCAGGGGAATGAGATGAGGCAGTACTTTTCCAGCCAGCTGCTCTTTGGTGATTCCCAGTTTCTTATGAGTGAAAGTACACTTATAGATACCTGAGAGGACACAGTGATGAACGTCAGAAACTGGCACCAAGTGCACAGAAACCATGAACTTACTGTACCTATGAAAAGCCTTTGCAATGGGTATGGCACAGATGTCTCCCTCTTATATTGAAGATGCTCTCTTCCATGTGGACCAGCTGCACCCCCAGTCCAGGCATATAAATACTATGGCATATTTATCCTGCACTCTTTTGGTTTGAGAGCACACTTAATAACAACACAAAACTAAAGGCTTGGCTATAATAACCCAACAACCAGGTTACAGAACAATTCCTTACCCTAGAAACATCTATTTCAGAACTCCATTTCTTTTTTTTTAATTTATTTATTTATTATGTATACAATATTCTGTCTATATGTATGCCTGAAGAGGCCACCAGATCTCATTACAGATGGTTGTGAGCCACCATGTGGTTGCTGGGAATTGAACTCAGGACCTTTGGAAGAGCAGGCAATGCTCTTAACCACTGAGCCATCTCTCCAGCCCCCAGAACTCCATTTCAAGATGTTTAAATACAGACACAGTGAGGGGTAGAGGCTACACGTTCACTTCTGACAGTCAAACTCAGCACAGCAAGTTTGCCTCTTTATACTACTTTATAGAAGAAAGTTATATACTATCACATCAGCCTAAATTATCTTACTTCTCCCCGCTCCCCCACGCTGGGAATCAAATGCTGATGCCCATGAGTCAAGCGCTCCCTTATGGACCCAGCCTTCTAGTACATAAATGTCAGAGTCTACTTCTTTTGTTGTTAAAGAGGGAGAAGTTTATAATGTGGCATTTATCTAATAACTCTACAACTGCATAATGTCATATACATAAAAATGAAGTGCAATGGCTTTATAGAATGAGCATTTTACTAAAAAACGATTGAATTAAGGTTAAAATGATACCAAACGACATTAAGTTCAGCTACCTAGAATCCCCATGAGGACCGCAGGCTCCTTGGAGGGAATCTGTTGTAAGAAGGGTAGGATATCATCAAGTACAAACCACTTATCCAAGTACTCCAAAATCTTGCCCAAACAGACTAATGAATTCACACGAACCTATTAAAAAAGATAAATTACATGTAAATTTGACAGAAGTTTCTATGGTGTAAAATAAAATACTTTAATATAAATTTAATCTTCAAATAGACACATACTAAAAATCTCAATAAAAACAGGTTTACTAAAGTAGATTGTATAAGCATGGCCTTACTAACATAAGAAATTTGATGGGCAGTGGTGGCCCAGCCCTAGAGAAGCTGATGCAGATGATTTTAAGTTGCCAGCCCGCCTGGTCTACAGACTGAGTTTCAGGAAAGCCAGGGCTACACATATCAACAAAACTCCAGTCTAAAAAAATTAAGCAGAAAATAATTCCATTGAATGATAGTTTACAGGAAAATGAAGATTTTTTTTCTATTTGTTCAACTACTTTCTGAAATTCAAGCACAGAATAATGTAAATTCAAAATACTATCTAAATGTTTAACCTGTTCTCAGAGTCAGTTTATCAGAGTAAAGAACTAATGCATCTACTGGACATAAATTAATAGTGCTGGTTTAATTTTATTTTCCTTTGATGCATAAAATATTAGACAAATCACAAATATACCTCTTGAAATGTACTTAGCTATGCTCTGTTTTTCTTCATTTTTAGGCAATTTCAATCAATGATTTATGGTTTTGGCATTTCCTAGTTCAAACTGCCAGACCCTAGAGAGTAAGTCTATAAATTCACTACAGAAATTCCTATCAGCCTCTCCAAGGCAAGCTAGAAGCACTGAAAGTCCCATCTAAAACGCATTTTTTAAAGTGAGGCATGAGATGCAAACCCATTTCAGAATTACTATTCTAACACGTGTGCCCTGTGCGTCCTCATAAGACATGAGATGCAAGTCCATTCAGAATTACTATTCTAACATGTATGCCTGTGCGTCCTCATAAGACCCTGTCTTGAAGGTCCAGGACCAGCTAGAGTTTGCCAAAGACCACCAAGTGTCTGTGCACTCTACATTCACTTACCCCGCACGTGTAGAGGGCTGTATAATAAATACTTTAAGATTTGTGTTAACATAAATTTATAACAGCATAAATAAAGCATTAAGGTTTCTGAAATGGCATTTTCATCCTCAAGGCCATGGGCGGTAGTTACAGAATCAGAATAAAGCCCATTTCACTCCATGCTTGCACCTCAGTGACGACGCTTCTCCTACTTCGTTCAGTATTCTATCTCCGTCTCAGAGCCTTTCCACAAGGGACACCGGCTGATACGGATCGGGAGTCTAGCAGGTAAAACTGTGCCGCACTGCTGTGGCCTCAAGTCTAGTACACTACTGTTTTCGTCTAATTCACACAGCGCAAGGAAAAGATGGATGAGGATTTCCAATGATCAAGCTTTATAAAAGGCAAATTCATTAAGTTCTGGGAAATATAAATGTCTTTAAGGGCCGAAAAGAGGGTTCAGCAGGTAGAGCAGCTGCCAAACTGAGCATGTGAGTTCGATCCCTGCAACTATGTGGTTGAAGGAGAGAACAAACTGTCTTGACTTCCACATGTTCAAACACATGCATGAATGCACGCATGATCACACACACACAAAGGGCAAATACATGTAAAAATAAATAAGTTAGATGAAAAAATGTAAAATACTGTATGTAGGTCACCTATAACTAAGACAAAGTCCACAAATGAACCAGAAGCTAGTTATTAATAAATGGGAAAATGAAGCCAACTGAGCAGTGAGAGACAAACATTAACTATAATACTTACAGCAAGGGAAGATGTTTGCAAACAAGCATTTTTAATTCTTGGAATCAAAGCATTTTTCATGGAAGGGTAGTCTATGAGATTTGCAAAAGTTGGGATGATGTTCAGACAGAGCTCCTATTGGAAAACAAATCTGTCAGTGTCCAGGAAAGGCTCTCAGCTTAGCTTGCACACTCAGCTAGTTGCCACTGTATAAATAAACTTCCATGTGTTTACAAAGTCCTGACACTTGAAAAATGACATGGCTCCACAGGGCCTGCGGTAGTGTCTAAGAGGCTGTACTGTTTTGCTTTCCCTTGAGACATAGTCTTTAGTAGCCCAGGCTGGCCTCAGTCTGCAGCCCTCCTGCTTTAGCCTAAGTACTGGGATTGCAGGCCAGTACCGCTCATGGTACAGGGCTCTAACTCTAGAGAGCTGACAAGCAGAGGTGAACACAGCTCCTGCTTATCCTGTGACTAATTATAAGGAGAAAAAATTCAACCTCACTCTTAAATAAACTTAGAGGAAGACAAAAATGAATAAAAAAATGTTATTTTAAATACATGGTAGAAGCAGATGTATACAAGGCAGTACAAACCTACAGTCCCAGCCACAGCGTTTTTGAGACAGGGTACCATGTAACCCAGGCTAGCCTTGAATTCCTGCAGGTGCTGGGGGAGTCCAGAACAGGTATTAGATCCCCTAGAGCTCAAGTTATAGGCAGTTGTGAGCAGCCTGACACGGAGGCTGGGAACCTAACTTGGGTCCTGTAGAAGAGGTGCGGGGGGGGGGGGGGGGGTGCACGACGCTGGCGTACATTTTAATCCCAGCACTTAGGAGGCACGAGCAGATGGAGCTCTGTGAACAAGTCCAGCCTGGGCTACACAATAAGGCCATCTCCGAACAAATAGCACCTGCTCTTAACCTCTGAGCCATCTCCCCAGCCCTCCTTTAGCTCAAGTTAATACAGACGGACACAGTGAGTCAGTGAGGTAATGTGATAAACATAGTAACGACTGAGTGCACACAGAATCTTAAGACAATTTTATAATATGCCTTACTACTTCTTTCTCCTGCCTAAAGACCATCATGAAAAAGATCACCCCAGACACTGTACCTGGATCTGAATGGAAGGCGCCTCCAGAGCCCTGTAGACCATGGGCAGCACACTGTTCTTTATCTCGTCAGGAGGGGTTTTGGTAAGGAGCAAATCCATTTTTTGGAGAAAAATTAACAAAATCTGTGGGAGAAAAGGGAAGATGTGTTAAAATTGTACAATCTTTGAGAAATTCAGTATGTCAAAATGTAGTGTTTTCAGAAGAATAAGTTGTGTATTTTGACACTCACCATGTTGCTAGCCTGAAGGCATGGAAGACAAAAACACAGGCATCAAGTCTCTTACATTTCTCTAAGCACACCCTTAACTGTTTTCACCTCACTTAAATAAAGCGAACTTCCAACATGTCTACAGTAACACAGGACTTCACTACAAGTTCCAACTATCCAGAAAGCTACTGCGCTTAAAAAAAATAAAAGCCAAAAAGAAACAAAGATGTCTCAAAGGGGAAATTTTATCATTCGGTTTCTATGAAAGTAAAGAAATGAAAAGATCTGTAAGGAAAAATTCTAGAAATAAACATTTTTAATTGTCCCTAATCTTTTTTTCCCTAGCAGTCTCTACATACTTAAATTGTAAGAAACAAACCAAAATACTTAGGTGAGATGTTTTTTAATTATTTACTTTTATGTGCATGAGTGTTTGGCCTGCAAATATGTCTGTGGCTACATGGAGGCCAGGGAAAGTGGCACTGGAGTTATAAATGGCTGTGAGCTGCCATGTGTGTGGGTGCTGGGAACTGAACGCGGGTCCTCTGGAAGAGCAGCCGTTCTCAGCTGCGGGGCCACCTCTCCAAGTTCAGAACACTTAGATTTGCCAATGCTCAATTAAAATTTCCAGAAGAGCTTATTAACTGAAACCATGAGAGGGAGAAATACCTAATTACCTGGGATGAACACCACGACAAAGCAACTTAAAGGCTAAAGGCTGATCTGGACCACAGTCCCACGCAGAGGGAATCTGAAGCAGCTGGAGATGCAAACTCCCAGGCGCGCTCACACACACACACTCTCCACCCCACCCTCCTCGCTCGCTCGCTCCCTCTACTTGTCAGTGCTCAGCTCTCTCCTACAAGCACAGCCGACCTGACAATTACACAGTCAGTCCTTCTCAGGAGATCCTGCACAGTATGCGGCCAACAACCAAACTTTACCAACATAAAAAGAACGGGGTCAATGGGAACCGAGATCGTGTGTCTTGGAATTTTATCACGGCAGATGAAGAATCAGGCAGTGTGATGCCACCACCCTTTCCTCTGGACGCTGTGACAACTGGCAGGAGCCCTGCTTTAACGCTCATGGCTCCGTCCTGTCCTGACGACACACACCTTTAATCTCAGCACTCGGGAGGCAGAGGCAGAGGCAGGTGAATCTTTGCAACTTTGCGGTTAGCTGAGCTACATAGCGAGTGCCAAGCAAGTCAGAGCGACATGGTGCAACCCCTCTCAGAGAAAGAGGAGTAGGGACAAGGGATAGCAGGGGGATGAAAGAGGAGGAGAATCGCTCAAGCGCATGCTACTCAAAGATGTCATAACGATATGTAACACCTTATATGCTTGTTTTTATAAATTAAAAAATAAATTCCCATTTTCAAGGGAAGACCTGTAAAGAACCACAATCCACTACACCAGACTGATAGCAGCTGACTGCTAAGCTCCCATCACCCAGCAGTAGAAACACCTAATGATTTCAGCATGTGCCAGCAACTCTGCATTGAGAAATGGGCACAAAAAGCTTTCAGATGAGAATGACCAATACAAAGTTCTAGACAGGAGACAAACCCAGATTCTAATCCAGGCATGTAACCCCAGTGTTCTTAAACTCAGGACAACTCTGTTTCTGACAAATACGTACTGTAACAAAACCTATATAATTTAATTCACTTGACACATACATATTACATATAGAATGTGCATTTTTCACGTGCATATTTCCATGATGCTTTACACTTTTTCCTCTTTTAATGAAAGTTTATTACCAAGAAAATAAAGAAACAACTGACACAATCCTCTGCAAATTAACTACTGAAGAGCAAACCGAATAAAACTATCTTAAACCAGAAATATGACTATTATTTTACCAAACTGCTACCTTTCCATTAGGAACAGTGCAACACATGCAAAATTTGATTGCAATTTGTTTTCTAAAATAATGATTTATGGAGAGTCACAGATACTCATTTGCTAAGTTTAATCACAATCTTGGCAACGATTCAAATGTATGCAAAATAGCTTTCTGTCTAGTGAAAAAAAATCTAATATACTTACCTCAATGTTTTAAACATTTAAAATTTTCAATTCATTTTTCTTTAGTGTATATGGTGCCTTGCCTGATGTGTGCCTGTGTTGGTTCCTGGAGTCCAGACTTCGATCCACTAGACAGGAGCTACAGATGGTATGAGCCACCATGTGGGTGCTGAGAACCAACCCCAGGTCCTCGAGAGACAGGCTCTTAAGTACTAACCCATTTCTCTAGCCTCTACTTACCCATCTTTTATTTTGTTTTGTTGAGATTGGGTTTCTCTGTGCAGCCCTGGCTGTCCTGGAACTCACTCTGTAGACCAGGGTGGCCTTGAATTCACAGTAATCTGTCTGCCTCTGCCTCCTGAGTGCTGGGAATAAAGGTGTGCTACCCGGCAACTTACTCCATTTTTAAAAGCTCAAAATGCCACTGGTTTGTTTTTAGTGGTAGTCATTATCACTGTAACCGTATGATACTCAGAAGCACGCGTAACATACCTGCACAGGCTCCTGCTGTTTAAACACAGGACCAAGTTCAGGCAGAATTAATCTGACATATTCTTCTTTGGTACACTCCTCAGCAATCAGTAAAACATTGGGCAAAACAAAAGGTACCATATCAGGGTTTACAAATTCTGAAGTCAAACAAGGCAAAATTCTCTGCACGATGACACGCTGAAAGGAAAAATGAAAAATTCATAAAAACAAAAGTATTTCAGGACTTTAAAGTGACCATAAAGTTCATGGCTGAAACTGAAAATTTTTTTTAAGAGAAAAATAAAATTCTGTTGCTTGTTACGACAAAACAAACAGCACAGGGCCAGCATATCCCAAATAAAACAGGATACATGATCACACTACCTTAGCAAATCTCTAACGAGTGCTCGCGGATAGTGTTCTTCCAACCCTGTCACCACTTAGGACTCCTGCCACCTAGCAAAGCATTACCCTGACTTTTAGGACTCCTGCCACCTAGCAAAGCATTACCCTGACTTTCTAACTGGTAATCCACGGGGGCAACCATGCCTGTTTAGTCTAACGGCTTGGGAGGAACGGCAGTATTTCTATTTTCTGTCCACTCTCCAAACCTCCTGAGTAAAGGGGTGGACAGACAATGGCTGTGACTGGAGAAGCTCTGGAATGAGTAGCTTTACAAACAATATCTTCGTTAGCATCCATCAGCTGTTTTTGTTTCTGTCCGTCTCACTACACAATCTGACTAGTCTAGAACTCAGGAGACCCAAGGCCCTGCCTCCCAGGTGCTGGGAGGTGTGTGCTACCAGACCCGGCCTCTTCGCCATCTTTAACACTATTTTGCATTCGTTGTCGAGTAAAGGAACCAGGAAGGTTTGCACCAACACCCATGCACTCTTTAACGCTGGAGAGGCATGAGCTCCACTGCGGCTGTTCACGGACAGCTTTCGGACACGATGTCCACCACAGGTCATCCTATTTTTGAAAGTCCTTTGATTGTTGCATAATAACTGAGCTTTGGCTTTAGTTTGCAGTACATTACTGTCATATCTGTCCCTCGGGTAAAGCTGTTTTGCATCTTTGGAGGAGTGGTTTATTATAGTAAGTAACATGAAACAAAAATCTCCTGACTATGTAAATAAACTGATAGCAAACCTTGGGCAGCTTTGGCAGAACCTTCGGCAATCCTTTGAAGAACTGGGATTTCTGAAGATTATCTCTTTGGAATAAGGTATCAAAATACTGAAGTGTGACTGCACCAACATCATCGAAGAAGGGAATCTACAAGTAAGCAAATCAGTTATCTTGATAACTATCCAGTTAAAATTACTCATAGCCAAAAATTACCACAACAAAGTGAAAACGTATTCAGAAACATTCGGTGATATTCTAAACATTTCTATTAAAAATGTAATTACATACATATATTATATACATTAAAATTCTAACTAGAACACTCCAAATAAGAAATTAACTTTTCAAATTCAAATCACCAGCACTTATGAGTTAGCTGAGCACTAACATGATTTATAAAATACTGAGAATTTCAAACAGCTCCAAAGTTGGTGCTGGCAAGATGGCTCAGCGGTGAAGAGCAGGTGTTGCCTTCCTGAGTTAAACTGCCAGCATAAACATTGTGCAACTTTTGCATTCATATACATATACCTTCACATGGACACACACTAATACACCACTAAAAATAAATAAATAAATAAATAAAATGTCTAAAAATAAAATACCTCAGAAGCATGAGTCCTCACTATCTACGACAATGCTTTGACTTTTCTGGGCAGTTAGAATGTCTGCCTCCCTAATGGTGACTTCCAGGATCTCTGTTCATTTGAAATCTTAATTTTCTTCACCAAATATACATAAGTAATTATTTAGCTATTTAATATTAAAAGCCGAAGTTTTAGTACATTCTAAAACACAGAGCACATATAAAAATAAAATTATGCATTTTAAGTTTCTTCTATTTTGGTTTTTGTCCATCATCTCACGCAAACGCCTGGAGGCACTCACTTTTGTCATCTGATCCGCGTCGGGTCTCACAGTTGGGGTCACATTTAGCAAGAGTTTGACATGCTCACGAACTTCCTCAGGTATACTTGTAAGTGAACTAGATCCTAAACGGCTCAGCTACTCAAAAGAACAAACACATATGAGTAGAAAACATTCAAAAGGCTACGAACCCTTTCTACAAGTCAGTTAACTGCACAAATACTATTCTTCCGACATAACTAAAATGTTTCCGTTTCTAAAGTAAATGGGAGTGTTTTAGAAAGTCTAGGAAAGGCTATGATGAAAGTTGTAATACCCAGCTTTTAGTAAGCTTTACACAAATCATTTTAACTGAATTAATTTTACACAAACTTCACGTTCTCATTTCTACTAGGGAATTTCTGCAGTTGTGACTGCCTAAAGAACACACGACTTCGAGGCAGTCAACATTCCAGCACGTGGGAGAAAGACTCCGAAGACCTCGCCCCTCACCTGGTAGCTGAGGCTGCTGGGAAAGACAGGTCTGTCTAAGGATGTGGCCGACATGTCTGTAACACACCAGCGGTTGAGCACACACACCCTTGAGTTTAGCACAGACTAAACTTGATGGGTTATAAAAACCCAAAAAAAGGAACATGGGTTGGGAGGGCAGCTGAGAAGATGGGGTGGATTTTGGGAGATTTGGGGAAGGAAAGGGACAAATATGATCAAAATATATGCACATATAAAATCCTCTTCTGTTTTGCTATTGGAGACAGGGTTTCTCTGTGTAGCCCTGGCTGTCTTGGAACTCACTCTGTAGACCAGGCTGGCCTCGAACTCACAGAGATCCACCTGTCTCTGCCTCTTGAGTGCTGGGATTAAAGGCGTGCACCAACACTGCCTGGCTGAGATTCTTTAAAGATTTAATAAAGATATTTTTCTTTCTTTTCTTTTTTTTTTTTTTTTTTTTGGCTTTTCGCGACAGGGCTTTCTCTGTAGCTCTTATAGACCAGGCTAGCAAGATACTTATTTTTAAGAGAAATTTTCTGTCTACATTTAAAAAAAAAAAAAAGCCAAGGAGACATTTCAAACAAGGACTAGCAGGCAAATACCTGATCCAACTGTCTACTGAAGCTCTTATAAATGTCCTGCTTGTTGACTTCAAATATAGGTTTCCCTTTATTAAACACGGCATAGATAACAGCTCCTAGAGAATACATATCGCTGGCCGTCTCACAGCTCACGGAGAGGATGTACTCAGGAGCCAGGTATTCAGGGTTTGGAAGACACAGTGACGGTAAGTTTGGGTCCCACTCTTTACAAGGAAACTTGGGCTGTAAGAAGACAGAAACAGGATGACAGGTTAGAACATTAAGTAACAGCAAACCACTACAGGCTATAGCTATCTTTAAATTTGCATTAACCCGGATAGGTATGGTGGCACACGCCTTTCATCCCAGCACTCGGGAGGCAGAGGCAGGTGGACCTCTGTATGTTCAGGCCAGTCTGGTCTACACAATGAGTTCTAAGACAGCCAGGGTTATGCAGAGAGACCCTGTTTCAAAAAATAAAACAGCAAGAATTTATACTGAGTCAAGCAAAATGAAAATGCTAAAATTCCCAAATCACCAAATCCAGAAAATGGGAGCAACGAACATCTGAGCTGTACTTGGTGCCCTAGCACAGCCTATGGAAGCAATCGATGCAGAGTGTGGCCTAAAGCAGCGTTTCTAAGTACGAACGGGCAGGTGTCCTGACTCACAGCAGCAGAAAGTGGAGCTCACATCCAGGTGGCACATTCAGCACACACCTAAACTCAGTGCTCCCACAGCACACTGAGTTGCTGTAAGGATTAAATAGGTTAATGCATGGAATACCTTAGAAAATAAAAGGGGGGGGGACACTAAACAGAATGTAATATATGCGTATATGAAACTGTTAAAGAAAAATTCAACCAATTTTTAAAATTAATAAAATCCCTAATAAATGCCAGCACACTGATCCCCAAGGAAGACCCCACATTCTCACAGCAGGGACGCGGTGTTAAAGTCACAACATCAGTTTGTACACCTGGATTCCGAAGAAAGAAATTCCTATTTAACTCATCTCGAGACATCTATAGAACCAATCATCTGGAGAACATTCTCGGGCACAACCTACACTAGGAGGTTTCTCGTTAGACAGTGAGATATGCCAGTCAGTACACCATCACCGCATCTCACACTTTAGCAGACTATGTGACATTTTCTAGTCCACTGTGGATACAACCATAGAGTTCCACGATTTAAAAAAATCCAAACATCAACACTTAGTCATTACCTCTTGTTCAGAAGGATTGCTTGATGATACACAAAAATCAAAACCCATTATTTTCCAGGCTCCACTTTTATTCAGAATTATATTTTCAGGAGTTACATTTCCATGAACCATTTTCACACTGCTATGCAAAAATGACAATCCTTCAGAAACCTGGAAGTGAAAAAAAACTCTTGAAAAGAAATGACTTCTTATATTGAACACAATACCTGTTGGTTCTCCTAGTCAGCGAGCAATCAAACTAGTGAGGGAAATCCTGCAACGAAACTGAAATACAACTCTCTATAAAGAAGTTCCTCTCTTAGCCGGGGGTGGGGCCAGCATTTATAACTGTCCCCAGAAGCCATAGGTAATTCAATGAAAATTCCACTGCCAGTGGTAGGGTACTCTCCTTTGAGCTGCTGGTCAAAGAGGCCCTCCAAAATACAAGCAACTGCCACTGCTGACTGCCCACCAGAACTAGGTGCTAAGACTTTACTGCAGAAGGTAACACACGTTTGACCTCCAGACATAAAGAAATCAAAGCTGGCACCACACTGGACGCATCCGACCTGCTGGCTGCGCACCAACGTTCCCACAAGTGCGCTGGGGAAATGAGTATTAGTGGCCTCGGCTGTGGACCACACCCTGGAGAGTCAATGTGCACTAGTGCAGCAGGGACAAGTCTGCTGTGGGGTGACCTGCCGCTTTCTGACCAGAATGGAGCCGGCTCCACAGGGAGAAACTCACTTACAATGCTGTAAATCTGCTCAAAAGCCTATGGCTGGTGAGGCTGTAGTCCCCAGTAGGGAGGACAAAGCTGTTTTGTTAAACAGACATGAAGGACCTGTCAAACTGCCTTCTAAAGTACTTTGTGTCCACTGCTGAATACATCTGTCTCCTTCAGTCGGAAGGTTCTCTATAGTTGGCAGTGTTGGCTGCAGAGACTCACAGCCACTAAGATTACCTGCACAAGACTGGACCTGTCCGCATTCCCCGCAGGGTGAACAGGGACTTCCCCATCTCCCCTGCCGGCTACAGGCAGTTTCAATGACTGCCGAGAGTGGGAGAGACATTTTCTTCATTGACGTGGCCATTGGTAAGGTCCCCGGCTTCTCTAAGTGACCCTAATTAAACTCATGGGTCACTAAAGAACTACTTTAAAGCAGAAGACAGACTAGTTAAAAAGATGACTCAGCAGTTAAGAGCAATGGAGGCCCTGGATTCAATTCTCAGCACCCACATGGCGGCTCTCAACCATCTGTAACTCTGGCTCCAGGGGATCTGATGCCCTCCTTTGGGCTTCTGCAGGAGGATCAGCAGCAGAGAGACAGGAGAGTCCTGGGAGAACAGGATCAAAGCACATTACTAAATACATAAAGCTGCATACCTGAAGCAAACCATACTTCGTTTCTACATCATAAAGTTTATAATCCTTAATGTCTGGAGATATTGAAGACGGTAGATTTTCCCAGTTACCAAGAACATTGGCTAAACTGGCAAAAACTGGTTCTGTACAAAATGCCAAGCAATCCCTGTTTCAAAAAAGAAGAGGAGTTACTATCATTTTTACACATTATAAAAATTAAATACATATGAAATAGTAGATAATCTATATCAGTAAGATATTATGGTTTATAAGCCAGCATGATTACGACACCCTTGGCCAATGAAGTCACGTCTACACACAAATCACACTGGACACACTGTTCATCTTTTAAACCAAGCACTGTTTACAGTCTGTGTACAGTCTACTTTACATTCAAAAGTCAGGGGAGATAAATATCTCAATTTTGTTTGTAAATGATTGACTCAAACCCAAAAAAAAAAAAAAAAGACTCAAAAACTGTTTCATGAAACCTATTCTACACTTATCTATAAGGCTGTAATTTTCAGAAAAGCTCAGAAAAAGCTGCAGCTTCCTGACATATGCCGTGGGGGCAATTTGGGGAGACAGGTACCAGTCTGTCTTCAACCAAACAGCTTCGTTTTATCTATTCTGCACATCATTTTGAAAGGATTCAACAGTTTTTAAGTTTTAATTACTGTTTTCTTGATTTATAAGATTTAATGTTCACACAGCATTTCCATGGATACCAACAGTCTGTTCCCATGTAAGAAAATGTTACCACAGATACCAACAGTCTATATGGCCATGTCAGATAATGTTACCATGGATACCAACGACTGTATGTGCCCATGTCAGACAATGTTATCATGGACACCAACAGTTTGTGCCCATGTCAGACAATGTTACCATGGATACCAACAGTCTGTGCTCATGACAACGATCACCTCAAGCTTGGAAGACAGTTAAGATCTTGCCATAAGCCCTGGCTTTCCTGTTTCTTGTCTTGGTGATGCTGCACACCATCTGAGTCTCACTTTGTCCATCACTTTGTAACACAGTGCTAAGAGATGCCCCCTGGAGGGTTCTGGTAAGAACTAAATGAGATAATCATGCAAAACACAAGGCAGAGCACCACTGTCTGGTGCGCACACTCAACAAATGCAGCACTGCCATCGTCATAATCCCCAGGCCCAGCATTTTAGGTCTTTGTCTATGGGCTTAGCAATGAGAACCTGCAAAGTACCAAGGCTGAATCCGGCCTCCGTTCCCAGACGCCAGCTTCTTAACAGCAGCTATGCACTCTTGTCTCACATGTCTGCAAGGTACTGCTTACCTCCTTCTGCCCTGAACCTAAGAAACGCGGACTCGAAACCCATCATCTTACTCTCTATACTAGATTTAAAAGGAAGTTATTTTTCTAGTCCTTAACGTGTCCCTCCTCCTATCATCAATGCTTACTGCAATTTTTAATAAGTAATCTCTGAACTGTGTCTCTTCCTGAAGACAAATTCCTAACTTTGAGGCCTGCAAGATGGCTCAACAGGTGAACTTGTCATGCAAGTTCCTGACTTCACTTTGACCCAAGTTCAACTCCTAGAACTCACATGATGGTGGGAGGAGAGAACTGATTTCACAAAATTGCCCTCTGACCCCCCCCCACACACACATGCATGAATGCACACACACACGCAGGCACATGTACACCTGCACCATAACATGTGTGCCCACATACGAACATCACATACACCCAAGTTAATACAAGAAAGTTTAAGCTCCTAATTCTAGAATAGTATGAGCAGCTATGGGGAGGAGGACAGTAAAGCATACTGCCCCTCTTGCCTCGAGAAACTTCAAACGTATTATGAGATAAAACAAACTGATGAAATTCATCTAACAAAGACATTTCTATAATAAGAGATGTGAGCATGCTTCTTGGTAGGCACCACATAGTACAGTACACAGAGCGCGCAGAGGCTCGGAACCAAGCCGCTAAAACTCCGAGGTCTGCATCCACGCCAGATTGAAACAGTTTTCCAACCCTCTGTTCTGCACAATGATGAAGCTCACATGCAGTAAGGGACGCAGAGCACCTAGCACAGTCGTACACACGGTAAATGTCTGTGCCGCTATTTGGGGAGAGAGTTCCTGAGGATTTCCTACGAGGAACCTTCGGAAACATCACATATAAAGCCAACAACAGCAAAACTGCCCCAGCTGAAGGGAGCAGGGAAGCTTGGCACCCTCCACAGGCCTACTCCTGCCTTATCCTTCACATCCTAAAGGGCAGACCACAAGGAGTTAACAATTTAAGACCTAAATTAAGACGGAACAATGGGCCAAGGAGGAGGAGAAACAAGTTTGAATAACTGATTATGAATAACGTAGAAAAATTGCAAAGCTAGGGTATCTAAGATTGGTCCAGTCAAGATGCCTACATCTTCTTTTCTGATTATCTCAGCAATATTTCCCAAGCTTAAGTAAAACAGATGCTAAAACAACTGAGGGCTACAGACGGACACACTGGGCATAACGTCTAGAACAGCACTTCACGCAGACGGAAAAGTTATCACCAGAGAATTAATGAAAAGGAGATGGGAAATTCTAGCCAAATGGCAAGGCCATCTCCTTTCAGGCAGTGACTGCTGCAGGCACTTACAGAGCCGTGACAACATGAAAGGTGCCGACACCTCCGTCAGACACACGCAGAGGCTGCACGGAGCTTACTGGCTGCGCCCACGGAGGACCAGGCTCTGTTCCCAGCCCCACACGGTGACACACAGCCACCATTAACTCCACTTCCAGGGTGGCACCACCTTTGGCTTCTGCTGGCTGCACGCACACAAACTCACAGGCAAACACACATACATATGAAAATAAATAGACACATGCATGCACAATAATATCAGCTTTAGGGTAATAAATGATCTATAAGATCTCAACACATTTCAAGAAATTTTGTTGATAATATTCGAAATAGAACAAACAGTTATTGTTAACTATTTATCAAGGACATATCCTGTAGGAATTTTCAAAATTTACCTTGACTCTTCTAAGGGATGCTGGACAGTAAGTAGTCGAGGGTGGCGTAGCCGGGTGAGCTGCTGGACTCCTCGTTTTAAAGAATCGATGATTTGATCCTTTTCAAATTTTTGATATTTGTCAATCAGCTTTTTATCAAAAACAAAAACAGCCACTTCCTAATTAAAAAAAAATTAAGTAGCCAATTTTATTAGGAAATCTATAAAAGCAGTAAAATCATATCTACGTGCCCTAACAGTCTATAAACAAATAATTAATGCCATGGAAATTTTAGCAATACTGCAATAATATAACCAACCAAAAGCTAAGTAAATAAAGATAGAAAAGTCTAAATATATTTAGAAGTATAAGACCCTAGGTCCTCACATAAGGAGAACATAGGAAAATCCCCATCTTGAAATTTTAAGACACGCACACCAACTGTGTACCACTCATTTCCTCTACGTAGTACTCTTAAACAAAAACATAAATGTTTTAAAGTTCCTAAAAATTCAAATTACTGTTCATAATAACTTTGCAGTATTAGATTTATTAAAGCCTATAACCCAGGCTATGCAGCTTAAGGAGGCCTCCACTTGAAGGGTGCTGGAACTACACCCCATACCACCACACCAGCCATGCAACATCAGGGAGAATTATCTACCCAAAACCCCATTTGTGGGGGGCTTTCATTGGTGAGTGACCTATCCTCCTCCCCTCCCTGTCTCTATGGCGGTCACTGACGGTCACTAGCTCAGGAGCTGTTTCCTCACTTCTCCAGAACTCCTAACAGCTTTTTCATTTTTCAGTTACACACACACACACACACACACACACACACACACAGACACACACACACCACTAAAGCCTACATCCTCTTTGCCATATTCTTATTTTTCTCAGGCACACAAGGAAAACTGTTCTATATTTACACTATCTTTCTATGCCATCAGCAGGTGACAGGCACTCAGAAAGCTGAGAGCAAACTGGCACAGAACAGCAGGTGTCTGCCAGGACTCTCTGAACAAAGATTTTGAGTAAGTCTTTAAAGTCCCCTGAAAAGCCTCACATTAAACTGCTTGTGTGCCCCCCCAACCCACTCGTCTGTCTCTTCTAACTATTTTCTGGGTTTTTTTGGTTTTTGCTTAGATGTGAGGATTACTGCTTTTTACAAGTTAGTCTAAAAACCTTTATCTTAAGACTTCACGGAAACATTCCAAATCAATAGTTTTCTCAAATATAAGTTAGATGCTCTGCAAACGCAGAGAAGTAGATTAAGGACTTTAGGGAATGAAGACCTTAAGAGTTGACACAGAGAGAAATGACAACCTAGTAACTCCAAGCACTTGGAAATCATGACATGTACCATCATAAAACAGGACACAGAACTCAATGCTTATACAAATTCAGACCACAGTTTTGAGAAAATTTCCCTCCAAATTACCAGCTGCCACTGAAGAAGCTTTCAAAGAGGAAAGGGGAAGATTTGCTCACTGGAGAACAAATAACAAACTATAGGAAGAAATGACAATTCCTGGCACACTATAGACATTCAATTCTGAGCATCTTGGCATACCACTGACTTAACGCCAACATCTACACTTTGTTTCTTTTCTACTCTAAGTACGCATTTTCTGCTAATACCCATCTGATCAATGCTATACACCTGATCAATGATCTGCACGTTGATGATCAATAGCATCTGTGAAAAATACAGATACGCCTTATCTTGTCAGTTTAGTAGGGGACATTAATTCATTAGGACTGTGTAAACTGTTACAATAGAAATCTAATGTCACTCCAATGTCAGAGACATTTAACACCCAAAAATGTAACTACCATTACATTACATTGGGTTAAGGGTCCGATTTCCAGGGCCAGTAAGATGGCTCTGTGGTTAAGGACACCTGTCTCCAAGCCTCTCAATCTTGAGCCCGATCTTCCAAGGGTGGAAGAACAGAACTGTCACATGTCCTCTGACCTGCACTGTGTGCCAGGACAAGTGTGCCCACACTCACTGTCTGTCATCCCTCCCTTAAGCAATAGAACTTTTTTAAAAAATTTTTTTAAAGAATCCAATTTCTTGAAGCATCCAAGTCCAAACTGGAAGAGCACTTTTGCCATTTCTTACACCGACCTTGAACTCAAACCCCGGTTCTTGTTGTTTTCAAACCACAGCACTACAAAAGGAAGTCAGTCAAGGAGTAAACTTAGGCAACAAGCCCTGTAGCTACAGTTGCAGGCATCAGTCTACAAAGGCTGAACAAATAAAAGGGTTTCTCATGTCAGCTGATTAATTACAGAAACAGGCAACATTTGCAGCCGTGTGGCAAGTACTGGGCTAAATCCTTCTTGGGGGGTATCCAATTCTTCACATCGGACATTATTTCATAGTCACCCCATTAAAAAAAATGACACTGGAGAATGAATGTTGTGCAAGAACACAACAAAGACGAAGAGTCAAAACTCAGCATCTGGTCGTTGGCTCTAGAGCAAACACACCATCCTGTCTGCACAGAAAGAGCACAGGACAAACAAGGAGAATTTCCGAGGGATACCCTTGTGGTAGGCGTCAATGAAGTTGAGTGACAGCTTTACCTTTATGTACAGGCTGCATAACCCTTAACCAAAGACCATTGTTTGGGACCAGGGTTGTTCCTGACACAGGTTTACAAATGCATGAACTCTCTTGCGGATAGGATACTGTTTCACGTGCACTTCACACACAGCCTGAAGATAATTCTTTAAACAGTATTTAAAGGTTTGTATTTTGAATGCAACCTGCTACATGAAATCAGGTGTAGAATTTTCTACTTAACACATGCAACTCAAACTGTTAGAGGTGGAGCATGTTGAGTGTAGATTTTAGGTGAGGGACACTCACACTATCTATACACATCTTACCTCTTGGACTATTAAGAAGTATAGCACAAGCAGAAGGGAAAAGTCACATGTGCTACTAATTAAATCTAAACACAAGTGACCCTGAAGTCCAGGTTCCTACATCACTGTTCACTTGCATTTATTTTAGTAAGTGCTTCTACGACACCTTCTGTAAACACATCTGATTTGAATGTGTTTTTCGCAGTATCTTTTAAAAACGATCACATGGGATGGCTTTGGCACTCTTGCCATTTCACTGCTCTTAAAGAGGAACACTTTTCACAGTTCATGAGGAAAGAGAACAACTCTATCTGAGGATCCTGGATGCGCTGCTCTAGGTAAAAGATGACAGATTCCTCCTCCCTAGACTTTTTAAAACTTTCCCTCTGAGTCAGTTAATGACAATTAATTTATTTCAACAAAATTGTATTGTTCACCACTTCAAGACATTAAAACTCTGCACTTTTAAATGCTTAGAGTTATCAATGTCATCTTCAGCTCATAGTTTTATTATTTTCTGTCATACTGAGCAACCCTAACTTGAAGATCTGAAACCTAAAATGTTCCTAAACTTCCTTCTTCCACTGCCCTAATACAGGCTTCCAGGAGAAAGTGCAGCCCAGGTTAAAGGTGTGCCCTCCCCCTCAAGAGCTGAATCAAAGGAAGTTGACTTCCGGCCTTGAGATCTGGAACACAGGTGTGCCCTTCATTTTGGATTACAGTTCATTCCAGCTATAGGCAAGTGGACAACTAAGAACAGCCATTACAGTGGAAAGGCTGTAACAGTCAATAGTAGCTGTAACACAAAGGAAAGTGTTCTCCAGACACAACAGGACGCCGTACATGTGAACTCAGACCCATTGTGACAGCGTGTACAAGACCTATGCAAACACCAGGCAGACAAAAATCACAGCGGAAGGAGCAGGAAGTGGGCATCAAACCCTGCCACTAGCTGAGGAGCTTTCACTGCAGTGAAAGCTGCAGGCAGAGGGGTCAGTTTCCTTTAAGTGTGACTCCTGGGAGGTCAGCCTCATCCCAGAGCAGACCTCATGCCCAGACCAGCTGGGAAACTGAACTGAATGGAGAAAGAAAAAGAATCTCAAAGTTGGGAGGAAAGAAATGGGAGGGGGAAGGGGATTGCTATGGGAGGAATTGAGGCAATAAATATATCCAAAATGCATTGTATGAAATTCTCATAGACTAAAAACATCTTTTTAAAATACTATTTTCTTACTAATCTAACTTTAAATAAAAAAAAGACTATAAAAATTATTTAAAAAATGACCAAGTGTGGTAACATACTATAATACTAGCATCCCAGAAGTTGAGGCAGGAGAACCTGATTTATAATTTTAAAGTTAGTTGCTTACTGTAAAGATGAAATCTGCCAAAAACAAAATAGTTCAAGGAATAAATCTAAATTATATAGTAAAGTGTGCAACTGTCTCAGAGCAAGCAGAGATGTTTGCTCAAACTCAAATGATTTCCCACCTGCCCAGAGTTTTCAAAACAGGCTTTCTCTATAACAATCCTGGCTGTCCTGGAACTTGCTGTTGACCAGGCTAGCCTTGAACTCATGGAGATCCACCTGCCTCTGCCTCCTTGAAAGTGTGCAGAGGTGGAGTGAGCGATGCCTCAGTGGGTAAGGCCTGTGCTGCCAAGACTGCAAACCTAAGTCCCACACGGTTAAAAGAGAAAGCCATTCCCTCAAGCTTCCCTGATTTTACACACACACACACACACACACACACACACACACACACACACACACACAGTCTCTGTCTCTCTCTAAATATAATTTCTAAAATGTTAAAGTAGAAGTTAGATATAAATAAAACAAAAACTGTCTCATGTTTTAATTAAATTGGGAGCCTTGAATGTTCTAACAACCCTAACACATAAAGCAATAGTACACCAGTTTTAAAGTTATAACAACCCTAACACATGAAGCAATAGTACACCAATTTTAGAGTATGTTACATGTTTGACAAGAATACCCATGCCCAGATAGTCATTTTAACGCTAAACATGAAACTCTATAGAGACTCAGTTATGGAACTATGCAGAGTCTCAAGGAGATAAACCCTATGCCTCAAAAGTTTAGGAGGGAAGAAAGAAATACTTCACTGAATTTTCAAAACTTAGATACTCCACCCAAATATCTGAAACTGCGAAGGATAACTGTGACAAGATTGGTAGGGATGTAGAGGAGCTAAAAGCTGGTGAAAGTCTATGCGGATCCAACCTGAAAAAGCTGGAGCAGAACATACGGAGTACTGTAGGGTTCCACAGAAATGACAGGCACACGGGTGGTGGTTTGAAAGAAAATGGTCCCCAAAAGGAGTGTCACTATTAGGAGGTGTGGCCTTTTTGGAGTGAGTGTGATCTTGCTGGAAGAAGTGTGTCACTGTGGACACAGACTTTTAAGGTATCCTACGTGCTCAAGCCACACCAAGTGTCTCACTCAGCTCACTTCCTGTTGCCTTTGAATCAGGTTGTAAGAGCTCTCAGCTCCTTCTCTAAGACCATGTCTGCCTACATGTTGCCTTGTTTCCTGCCATGACGATAATGGTCTGAATCTCTGAACTATAAGTGAGCCACCCCAATCAAATGCTTTCCTTTATAGGAGTTGTCATGATCATGTTCTCTTCACAGCAATAGAAACTCCAACTAAGTCAACATCCAAGAACAATCCAACTGCCAAGCCCCATATGACAGCATACACCAATAATCCCAGCACTCAGAAGGCTGAGGGAGAAGTACTACAGGTTGATGACCATGGGGTCACAAGAACCAAAGAAAAAGAATTCAAACTGCATCTTTGTTTTAATTTTTGTTTGTTTTATTGGTCTTTTGCTTGTTCTGTTCCGATTTTCGTGGGGTTTGTTGCTGTTGTTGTTTAAGACAGAGAACATAAGTTGGGTGGGTAGAAGGATCTGGGTTGAGGGGGGGATACGATCAAAACATAGTATATGAAAAACATTAAAAAGAACAAAAACTTTGCCCACAAGCACCCCAGGTTTATCCAGCTACTTCCCACTTCCCAGAGCAATACACTTAAGGAGAGAAGCCAGCTCACACTTTCAGCCAACAGCTGACAACAGGCTGTGGCCAGCATTTGTGCCTGACTCTCCTGCTCTATGAGCAACAGTATAAACTTCTACCTTACCTACCACGGTATTTTAACATGTGGACCTCTGACATCAGCGCCAGCCACTAAAACTCTCTGGTCAAGCATAAAGACACCAATTTACCTCCAGGGCTTTAACAAGAATGCGTTCTGTAAGTGTGGCGTGGAATTTCACCTATTCACAGTCAGTGCGGAACAACGTGTTAGTCATCAAGCACATGACCATGCCCCCAAATCATACTGACTAACAGTATCAAAGTTGCCACAGTTTATTAATAACACACTGTGATATTCCTACACCGAACAAGTCAGTATTTCTTAGTCATTCAGCAATGTATGGCTGAAAATGACAACAGACGCAATCTCTACTATCCCTTCACAGCGGCATCAACCATTCCCCCCTAGTCCACACTAGTAACCACTCACTCTTTAGAAAGACCTAGCTGAAAGAGAAGACAAGGTTCAAAACTGACAATTTAAATCAACCACCATTTAAGACAAAGATCAACTTTGGATCTCAATAGATTTCCAACCAAATGGCAATAAAAACAGGAAAATCATATTTCTACAGAATTTTAAACCTGGATTTTTCTTTTTGTTTTTCAAAGCAGGGTTTCTCTGTCTAGCCCTGGTTGACCTGGAACTTGCTCAGTAGACCAGGCTGGCCTCATATTCAGACATCTGCCTGCCTCTGCCTCTTGAGTCCTGGGATTAAAGGCATGCGCCACCACTGCTGGCTAAACCTGGGTATTTCTAACCTTGACAATTCCAACAGAAACTGCTAACAAACTGCAACACTAACTGGCTAGTAAGATGTGGGTGAAGGCACTTGCCAACCCCAGGTCCCACGAGGCAGAAGGAAAGAGCCATCCATTCCAGGCCGTCCTCCACCACAGACACACAACTGTACATATGGGGAAAAAAATTTCAAATTTTTAACACAAGCTGGAGAGACGGCTCAGTGTTTGACAGCACATTTGCTTGCTCTTCCAGAGGACCCTAGTTCGGTTCTAGCACCCACACAAGGTGGCTCCCAAGCACTTGTAACTCCAGCTCCAGAGGATCTGTTGCCTGTGGCCTCTAAAGGTCTATGCATTCATGTGCACAGCCCCCACTCCCCAAGTACACTTAATCAATTAGTTAATTAATCAGCCTTTACATTTCTTAAGCCTATTTTTTCAATGTAACTCATTCAACTCCACTAGAATTAGTTAATTTGGAAAAGTTTTAAAAACAATAAAATAAATATACCAAAATATACAACTTACTATATCCCACAACTGTACTTCTCTGGTGGTGATAAAAGCTATCAGGTTTAATAATACACCAAAATAAATAAATATGAATAAACAAAATAAATAAAAATCAGAGAAACCTATTTTTTTTTTTATAATTCTATAGGCTAAAAGAGCAAATAGCAGCAACTGTGTTGAGGTACAATTCATTGGTAAAGTCCTTGCCAGGCCCCTCTGAAACCCATGTTCAATTCTCTAGTGCTATTATACAAAAAAAGTACTAAATAAGGCATACTTAATGCTGGCAAAAATTTAACAGGCTATTTCACCAGTAACTATTGACAAATATTAAAACAAAATCTACAGACTGAGAATTTTTATCCTAAACATATACTTCACTGAATATTACCAGCTAATATGCTAACATGACATTTTTATTACTCAAACAGATATAAATGGCAAGATGGTATGTCAAACGATGACTCTGCAGCCAGGAGACACAGTGGGTATTGAAAGCATTTGCTTCCATGTCATAAACAAAGCGAGACCTCCAGTGTCCACTGAAGGGCTGGAACAATGGCTCCGCGTTTGCACAGTGCTTGCTGTGCAAACACGAGGCTCTACGTCTACCGTCCCAGCACCCACAGAAACATGTGCCCGCCAGGAGACAAGTGGATCGGTGACCTGAGATCACTGGGCAGCCAGTCTAGACAATCCGTGAGCATGACTGAGGTGGACATCCCAAAGTCGATCTTCAGCTTCCACACGCACACTCACCCAGAACTAGACATGCCAAACCCACACACAAAGAATTTATTCAAAAACACTGGCACTAGCTCTTACAGTCCCCACGCGGTGAGTAGAGACAGAACACTCGAGTTCAAGGGCAACCAAAACTACACAGTTGGAGAATGAGGACAGCCTGAGCTAACTGCGTCTCGGGGAAATCCACTCAAGAACTTTTGGGCCTTCTTACTAGAAAAGCCAATTCACTCTGTAGGATCTGGCATGATTACTTCCCAGGTCACATCAGTGACTAACCTGCTTTGTTGACTTCTTAGTGCCGTGAAAAATCTTCCACGCCAGCCCATTGCCGCCACTGGCAATGTGCCGACCGACGTCAAACTCCCTCGTGACAGGGTTCCCCATGACAGCACTCGTGACGTCAGCGGTTACTTTTGTGACCGTGCTCTTCAGTTTATTCAGCATCGACTCCATGGCTGCAGTACTTGGTGGTTCAAGTTACCTAGAAACACAAAAGGATATGGAAAAACTGAATGGTTTTTACTTGACTTGGGCACACATTCATATTAAGTTTTAAAAATGTACCCCTCCCCCAAAAGACTAAAATAACACCATATCAAAGTTGATTTTTTTTTTATCTTCAGAAAAATGTAACCATGAGTAGAAATTTTAGTCCCAAACTCACTCATCATAGTAAAAACAAAATAAAAAGCTTAAAGGACACAATGTCTTATTCAGCAACAAACCCTACCGTTTATATTCATACACACACACACACACACACACACAGCACTACTGAAGTTAATATCACTACTGCACCCTGAAATGACCTGAGAACATTTTCTAAAAGAAGCACAGTGCTTGTTACAGTAATGGGTAGCCATAGTCCCAGTTACCCATGACACTGAGTCAGGAGGACCCTTTAGTCTACGAGTTTAAAAATCAACTTGAGCCGGGCGGTGGTGGCGCACGCCTTTAATCCCAGTACTCTGGAGGCAGAGACAGGCGGATCTCTGTGAGTTCGAGGCCAGCCTGGTCTAGTTCCAGGACAGGCTCCAAAACCATAAAGAAACCCTGTCTCGAAAAACCAAAAAAATAAAAAATAAAATAAAATAATCAACTTGAGCAGCAGCATGAGTTTGAAATCATCTTACAAAACAAACAAACAAAACCCACCCGTGTCTGCGGCTCACACCTATAAAACACGTTCTTGGAAGGCTAGGGTAGGAGCACCACTGAAAGTGGAAGCCATTGTGGCCTCCAGGGAGACGTCTCGGAAGAGGAAGAGGAGAGCAATGATGAGGAGCAGGAACAGCAAAACGTTGAAAGCAGCGGGGAAAAAAATTAAAACAGAAAAGAAATGTACAAAACCTAGGGAGATGGGTGAGTGGGTAAACCGAGAACTCATATGCAGGACAGTACACCAGAGCAGGCACCCCCTACTTCCAGCACCCCCTACCAGAGAGACACAGACAGGAGGACACCCAGGAGCTCTGTCTGGGCCAGCTAACTTGGCACATTGTGAACAGAGACTAGAACAAGCAACTGAGGCTCCTCTGACCACCACCACAGGCGCAGGCCATGGCTGGCCTTCTCGTTCTTCTCTGTAACCCTCACATCTCCTCCCTCCCTTTTTCTTGCAAGCCACACACACAAACAGATAGCATGAGCTCATAAAATGTGCTTAAAAATTGATGAGGATTTGATATAATTTGGTGTTTTGGATGATCATTTATTAGTAATTGTTTAGTAAACAATCATCAGTAACTTTTTGCTAATGATTAGCAATTGTTATGTTTAACTCTTCTCATTTAAAGATGGTATCTGCTGTCTATGGTAATTCTCTTCAGACTGGAGCACCCCTGTGTCTATAGTTAGAGGAAAACTGTTCAGAATCCATGGGGCCTAGACATTTCAGAAGAGAGGTTTCTAACCTAAAGTCAGAGAAAGAATCCAGAGAAACCCAGACATAATGGTGAATGCCTTTATTCCCAGAACTTGAGAGGCAGAGGAAGGTGGACCTCTATGAGTCTGAGCCAGCCTGGTCTACATTGAGAGCTTGAGAGCAGCCAGAGCTACAGAGACCCTGTCCTAAAGAGAAAAAGAAAAAGGTAAAGGAAAAGGAATTCAGAGACAATTGGAGGCTTCCTGAGGCCCCACATTAGATTCTGTTCATTTAAGCATTGAGAGAGTCCTCAGCACAGCTTTTTAAAGCTTTTTAAAAACTGCTTCAAATTCAGTTTACTTTCTAACCCTATGTATTTTATTCTGTACATCACTATTACTCTATCAGCTGATGATAATGGAAGAAAGAACAAAGAGTGAATCTGCCCTCTTAATTTCCAGACAGCATGGACCTGTGATTTAGAGATGGAAAAATATTTCAAAAAATAATATGTAGCTCTTTTTCAAATCTCATCAAACTATACAAAGTCCCAAGAAATTCCATAAACCACAGAAAAGGACAAACACAAAGAAAAAACATCCCTAAAACTATCACACTGAGTAACTCAAAACCAGGGAGTAAGTCTTAAAAGAGTCACTCACAGACAGAACAGAGACAGCACATGTCTCAGAGGGCACACCACATACCCTGGATTTACAGGAATAACAGGATGAGGCCTGTCAAGTGTTGACATAGTCTGCTGGGGCTAGAGATGGCTCGGAGGGCTGCAGCTCCTCCAGAGGACCTGGGTCAGTATCCAGCACCCACCTGGTGGCTCACAACCATCCTTAAGTCCAGTTCCAGGAGACCCAACAATCTCTTCTGAATCTGTGGCCACCAGTCAGGCTTATGGTGTACATACACACATTCAGGCAAAACGCTCACATAAAACAAAATAAATCTTATTTAAAAGAAAAAGTAATAGTTAGCCACAAACTATGTAGGTTAGGAGAAAAAAGTGAAATAAAGACATCAAGGAAAAATAAATTTTAAATTGTAATGAAGAGGTAGCAATATCAAACTACTTAAAAAGGAAGTTTCAACTATAAGCTGCTTATAGAAAAATACAGTAAAGATACAAAGGTGTGTGCAAACTTAACAAAACAGCATATACTAATACAGGCACAACAGACTGAAAAACAAATAGTACACTTTATAATAACAAAGCAACCAATTAATCATCTATTTATAATAACAAAGCAATCAATTCATTGTTTCTAGATACCCAACAAGCCACCTTTGAAACAGATGCAGCAAAACAGACAGAAGTAAAAGAAAACACCACCAATTCTGTTGGAGACTTCAAGAGTTCTTAAGCCTGGCCTTGAGGCACAGGCTGTAAGCTTAGCTACCCAGAAGGCCCTAGATTATTCTATCCTAGTCACACACACACACACACACACACACACACACACACACACACACACACAGAGGGTGGTCTAGCTCAGTAACAGACCAGATAAAGAGAAACATCACACTGTTAACTGTGTAACACATGGCTGAGCATGAAGCTTGCTGCCAGCCTGTGTACCTACGTTCAAGGCCTTGAGTTCAATCTCTGCTTCCACACAAGAAAAACTATGTATAGGTCCTGCACATCTCTGTGATATTTAAATAAATCCTTGGTTTGGATTAAATAAAGCACAGAAATCTAGAAATTAAGTCTTTCCACTATTTCAGCAGATACCATCAACCTAAAAACAAACAAAATTTAGCTGGGCGGTGGTGGTGCACGCCTTTAATCCCGGCACTCGGGAGGCAGAGTCAGGCGGATCTCTGTGAGTTCGAGACCAGCCTGGTCTACAAGAGCTAGTTCCAGGATAGGCTCCAAAGCTACAGAGAAACCCTGTCTTGAAAAACCACAAAAAAAAAAAAAAAAAAAAAAAAAAAAAAAAAACCATACAAAATACTTGAAGACCACTGGAGTAAAGCAGCATTTGCCCGCACTCTGCTCGCTCTGTTAGTTATACTTATGCAAATATAACCTACTTTCTGCTATCAAAGATTTGAGAAATCTAAGTGGAAATAGACCCATTCTCCCTAATGTAATGCTGCATTTTATAAGTAATTAGAAAATGTTGCTGTTGGCATGAGGAAAACACTGCTTTGCTGTGCCAAGCTGCTCTCTGCTGACTTGATAAGGTACAAGGATACAAAATCCTATTCAAAGTCAACCCATGCACTCTTCCGGCCCTGCCAGACCAGCTCCACACTGCATGCTCCGCCCATCATTACACAGGCCCACAGCAGAGTGGACTGACCTGCAGCTTTAGTGGAGGGCCTTCTGTGAAGGGTCCTGAAGAGTGACAAGACAAAATAGTCAAGGATTCCCGGGCTGGAACTTAGAGCAGAGACCGTGCTGTCAGGAACACCCTGCCCTTGGTTGAATGGGATTTCCTCTGGAGCTGCTTGACACCCACTTTTCCTCCCACAACATGGGTCAAATGTATTCTCTATCACATGAGGAGAGTGATAATAATGTCGTTCATTTCTGAGCATCCCAATAAATGTTCACATTTCATTTCAAATAAAAAAAAAAAGAGCACCTGTTGCTGTTGCAGAGAACCCAACTTTGGTTCCTGGTACCCACATGGTAGCTCATAGTCATCTATAATTCCAGATTTTACCACCCTCCCCTCTCCCTCATGGACAGACACATGATGCCTATACATACATGCAGGAAAATACTCGTATACATAAAATAAAAATAAATCTAAAAAAGATGAGCTCAAAAATGTTTAGGTGGAAACAGGAAAAAGAAACAGAATATTAAAGAAGGATTACTGTGTGCCATGATACAGAAAAGAAGATTATAATGTACACTGAAAATGATAAAAATATTTAGGATGAAAACAAAAGACAGTTTCAGAATTGATGTTCAAATCTGAGATACCTATTGAGCATCCAAAGAGAAGCAGCACTAATTATACAGGTGGGAGACACGAACACTAATCAGTTAGCTATTATTGAAAACCCCGATGTGCCCATGTGCCTGACATCATTGTAAGTAACCGAGGGAAGGGAAACAAAGGAAAACAAACTAGAAAGGATTTATTCTTCGGATAAAGTGATACAGTGTTACAATAGCACAGGACTAGGGACCGAAGAGCAGTGCTGAAGATGCTCGTGTTTAAGGTGCATGGCCAGGACTCGAAAAGGGGAGGATGTAGGAGTGAAACAAAGCCATTCAGACAACGGCAGAAGAAAATATGGCAGACGACACCAGCAATCCAGATTACCCAGAGCGATGAGCGTGCACACACCGGGCTGAAGAAGTCACAGAAGGCTTCCTGGAAGCGAGTAGATGACTAATCAGTTCGTGGAACAGAGTGGAAGCCAGACTCAGGTGGAGGCTGGGAGCATGGAAAACTGGAGAGAGTGTCACCAATATCCAGAGATGACAAACAATCTAGAAAACGAAAGCACATGTGGACAGAGACACAGACGGCTAGCTACAGAGAAATGTGTTTTACAACTATGAAATACCTATGTTATGCAATTTCGTTACACTTTACATTTCAAATTGTTGAATTAAGGAAACAACAGCGAGGAAGGAGATCAAAGCAAAGATAAACAAGTCCTCCTTAGAGCACAGGAACTGAGCGACTGCACAAAGGAACGGACAGAGCTGGGGCTCCCTCTTGTCACCTTCAGCGTCAGTTTCAAAATCCAGGTGTGGAGGAGACCATTCAGTGAGCCACGGCATGTGGAGCAGCTGTGTTGAGGAGAGCAAGAACTCAGCGTGGATTTGAACTGTCCTCTTTTCTAGTTGTCTGCCTTTTGAACCACGGCTATCCTAGTCAAGAGCTGCAACACCACCTCTACCAGCAGCGGCCATAAGAGCTGTTCTCTCAGACACCTGGAATGCAAACATCTCTCCCCGCTTAAAGAAAGGCAGTGAACACACGTGAAGGCAACTTCAGTCTTGCTTCACGACCATTTCACTCTGCCATCTGGCTCAGCATTCATCTGGCGATCAAAGGAACCAACAGGTGAATCTGCCGTAATACTAGATTGTACAACAGCTGGCAAAAGTGGGTAGCACGTTACATGGGTAATTAACTGATCATGAACACTAGATACAAACAAAAAATGCAGTATGTAAAATTTTATTTATGCTCAAATAACTCCTAAATCTCAAATAGAGTCGTTTATTGTCCACAAATATAAAAAAACTAGCATTAGCTTGCATTTTGTTCAAGGTATTATAATAAAAATGTTACTTAAAATACATTTGACAATTAAAATACTTATATTTACACAGTATCAGAGATATAAGAAAGAAGGGGAGAGGGGAGAAGCAGATAGAAGAACGGAAGGAAAGGGGACAGAAGAAGAAATGAGAAAGAAACCCATCATGCCCAGCGGCAGAATCAGGAGTTCAGGACCCTCCTCAGCTACACAGGTTAGCTCAGGGCCAGTCTGGTCTATATAGTCCCAACTTAAAAACCTAGGGCGGCTAAGATGGAAAAACAAGTAAAAGTACTTACTGCCAAACTTGATGACCCGAGTTCTACCCTAGGACCCCATGGTGGAAGAAAAGGACATGTTGTGAGATCTGTCCTCTGACCTCAACATGCATGCCATAGCACAAGTACCCTCACAAGTGCACAGCAAATAAATGCAATGTTTAAAAAAAAAAAAAAAAGATGCCTAAACTTAAAAGAAAGAGGACGGGGGGGGGGCGCGGGGGACGGAGAGGGAAGCAAAAGAGGAAAGGAAGGGGAAGAAGGGAAGCAATGTAGAGAAGACAGGAAGGGAGGAAGGGAAAGAAGAAAACAGAAGGAACAAAAGGGAAATCCAAGCATAGCAGAGCCCAACATGTGAAATTGAACTCGTGAAACACAAGTTCCATGAGACAAAGCTTCCCGACTGGGAAACATCTATGGACCGTCCTGACTCTAAGGAACAGAATCTGTGAACCACAATGTATGCACTGCAGTTAGACCATGTGGGGCTTGACCCCACAGCAATGTCCGAGAACCGAATGCTTTATGCGTATGCTACCCAACAGCACGGACACCGCAGCCCAGTCCGAATATCTGTGCAATGGTCACTCCTGCTTGTCAACATGACTGGACCTGGGATCAACTAAGGGACACACCTCTGGTGGGTATGGGGGGGGGCTTTCTTGGAAGAATGAACTGAGGGATGAAGACTGCCCCCCTAGAGTAGGCAACTCCTTCCAGAGGCAGCCCTGACAGAGATCTGAGGATAAAGTAGACTTTCACCTGCCTGCTCAGTCCTTGCTGGGGACTGACTCTACCCTGTGGCTGTCACTGCTGTTGCTGTCCTTGCTGACGGCAGAACCCAGCTTCTTCAGTCTCCCAACAGAGACGGAAGACAAGGGGCTCTCCACCAAAACGCCAAACCCTCTACACCGGATAGGCGGCCTTGGGGACCGCACAGCTGCCAGGGGTGCCACTCCAGCATGCAGAGGACCAACAATGGCCTGACCTGCTTCTACTGTGGAAGTCAACCTAACAGTCCTCTTTAACAGACTTTGATTCTATCTATTTTATGATACATTAGTCTACCTAACATAGTATCTAATCTATAAAAAGGGAGGGGAAGTCACCCAGACTTCCAAGCGATTGCTGTAGGAATTAAAGATGATGATACATCTAGAATACTTAGTACATTTCTAGGGTGCTTGATAAGCTCTAAACGAATTTACTCACTTAACAAACATTTACCCAGTATCAGGAGATGAGGGACACAGTTAGAACCTGCAGCGGTGTTCTGAGAAGACTTAATGAGGAGAATTTACCCTGATCAAACAAGTCTGAAGTGAACTGTATGATAAATAGGCATTAACAAGAAGCAAAGGAAAGAAGAGCATTTCCAGGCTCTCATGGACACTTCCAGGAAGTATAACCCATAGCCATGTACCTGAAGGAGGAATGAAAAGAAGGCAGTAGACTCGGGGAACAAGGAGAGGAAAAGAATGCCAAAGCCCTGACTGAAGGGAAGAAGCTGAAGGAGCACACAGAGGGGACAACTGAGCAGGGCTCTACAGAGCGTGCTAAAATTTTCAATTCATCCTAGAACCAATGAGAAGAAGCTATTGTGACCGGATCTTTATTTTGAAAATATTAATCCTAGAATAAAAACTGTGGGAGTTAACAACTCTAGATGAGAGAGACTTAATGAAGCGGTAGAGGAAAAAAACGGTGGCTGGAACAAGAAGGTAATACTGAAGATGAAGAAAATCAGGACGCAAGAAATATTTAAAAGGCAAAATCAATAGGATTTCATAAGAAATGGAGAAGGAAGCATGGCAGAACTTGACAAGTTTCAACTCCTATAGAAAGGGATGGAAACACAGTAAGAAAACCCATTTTTTCCTTGAGAGGATAGATCATAAATTTCAATTATGTCAACACGATATAATTTCCAAATCCAGAGTGAGTTTGTATGACAATGTCCTACTGTGTGAAATTACAACACACCTCTCTCAGCCGTTTTCGGTCTTACAGACAAAATGAGCAATTTTCACATGTAAGGTATATCTGAACAGAATAAAGCCCCAGGTCTTCAATTAGGCTCCTTTCTTTCACACACCCCCTTCTTCTCCTCCAACCTTTATTAAAAGGGATGGGGGAGTTAAGCTTTCAAAGTCGGAAAGGAATCTTTGAAGCAATCACCAGAGAGGCTCAGGGTCTATAATGGTTGACTGACTTGCAACAGAGGCATACTACCTAGAAAACTTAAATACCGCTTTTTTAAGTGTCATCATACAAGCTCTGGATCTGATCAGCTGGAACTCACAACCAATCACTTAAGTCGCTGCACGGGAGTCTCATCAGTCCTGTTAGAGAGGTAGATCTGATACCAGTGGTGCCCTTAATTACGGAGCACAAGCAATGTGTCCAGTTGAATGCCACGAAGTTTCTGAAAGCTTCATCTAGCTAAACCTTCTCCTTTCTCTGTAGCTTAAACAAACAAGCGCACTGGAGACCCCAAGGGGATTTTATTCACACAAACCTTATCTGCCCCACCCACCTCACACACAATAACCGTCCAGTCTTGAAAGACAACTACCGTCCGAGAAGGGCAACCGGAGTTCAGGGGCCTTAGTTGGTGACCCCAGGTCTCAGAAACAAGACGCGGGGGGGGGGGGGGCTGTCTCCCCGGGGCGGAGTCCAATTTCCCAAAAGGATACCGCGATCTCCACCACGGAAACTCGAGCCCCTGCTCCCTCTCGGGGAACTCACTGGGCAGCAAGTCTCCCGTAGCCCGAAGGCCTCTCCTGGAGTCACCGGCCTCTGAGATCCGCTCCCTACCGCTCGTCGCTACCTGGGTCCGGCTCCCCGGGCCACCCACAGCCGGCCCGCTCGACCCGGCCCGTCACCAGGCAACAGTCGCCAGCCGCGAGGATCGAGGAGGGCCGTCGCCCACTTGCTGGTCGCAGACCCTGGCCCCCCGGTGCCCTCGACCGGCCGGTCACTCACTCACCTCGCAGCCGGCTACCTGGAGGGGCGGTGCTGGGACCCGTCCCCCCCCCCTCCACCCCCTCGCCGGCTCCCTGAAGGCCTCCGGGCTGTGACTGCGCGGACCGCGCGCCTGGCCGCCACCGAACGCTTACTCCATCTCCTCCGCCGCTCCCGAGGCCGCAGAACCCCGAGACGGAGGAGTAAAGGGGGAAGAAGGGAGGGAAGGGATTGGGGAGGAAGAGCACGGGAGGGGGAAGAACACCGAAAGACCTGCCCGGTCCGGCATGACGTCACTTCCGGGTGGTTCGGAAGGGGCGGAGCTGGACGTTCCTCCGCCCCCAGCGGGGTGGTGGGGGCGGGGCTCAAGGGTCGTGAGTGGAGCCTGAGCGTCCGCCCTACCTTTGAGTCTGGTTCGGAAGACGTCCAGGTAGGATGAGCTTTCCCCGGGCCCAGGCTAAGCAGACCGAGTTTCCGGAGCCGTAGAAAGGGATTCTCCAAGAAAACGAGGACAGGTACCCAAATGTATAATGGAGATGGGTGACAGAAGCGGCTGGTTGGTTGGACTCTGCCGCTCTGGTTCTTTCCCTTCCCATTTCCCAGGCCACCTGTGTCCTTGCAGGTCTAGGGATTGGGTACTTAGGACTCAGGTTTCTCTCTTTTGTAAAGAGCCCTTCGAACCTAGGAAAGCCAGGCTTCTCAAACGGGGCCGTGTTGAAATGCCGATTCTGATGGAGAAGTGGGATCGCATATTCTGCATTTCTACGAAGTTCTCAGACTACCCCAGTGCCGCTGCTCCACAATGACTATCCTACTTGCTTCATGGAAGAGGCGCATTGCTCAGAAAACATACCTGGGCCTCCCTGCTCACAGCCTCTCAAGCTCCCCGCTACCCATTTAGGTAGCCCCTCGGTAGTCCTACCACCCTCGTGCTGTCCTCGGTCTCCCCTGCCTCTGCTCTGTCTGTGTTTCAGGCTAAAATAGCTTAAGATGGGTACTAGGACAGCTTCTATTACAAGAAGAATTTGATGGTGGAGCGCGTGCATGCGTGCGTGGTGCCAGGTGTATTTACACGTTTGTGTGGTTACAACTGTATGTACTGATGCCAGGCATGCTGGAGGCTAGAGGTTAGCCTTAGGTGTTGTTGCTCAGCAGCTGGCCTTGTTTTTTTTTTTTTGTTTGTTTGTTTGTTTGTTTCAGACAGGGTCTCTAAATAGCTTCCAGCTAGGCACAGCATTCAAAAGTTCCCAGTACCTCCTGATGTAGGAGTCACCTCTGTGTGCTATGATTGCCATTAATGAATAAAGAAACTGCCTTGGCCTGTTGATAGGGCAGAATTTGGGTAGGCTGGGAGGACTGGACTGAATGCTGGGAGAAAGAAGGGCAGAGTCAGGGGACACCATGGATCCGCCACCAGAGATAGCTGTGCTGAAGCTTTGCTGGTAGGCCATGACCTCGTGGTGATATACAGATTAATAGAAATGGGTTAAATTAAGATGTAAGAGTTAGCCGATAAGAAGCTAGAGCTAATGGGCCAAGCAGCGATTTAATTAGTACAGTTTCTGTGTGATTATTTTGGTTCTGGGCGACTGGGAACCAACAAGCGGCCCCCTCCATGCCACAACCTCCCAATATAGTTTTATCACTTGAGCAACAAGCAATTAACACATGAGTCCTGAAGGGACATTTCATATTCAAACTTCAATACCCTATACTGTACCAGCAGCGTGTCACATCTGTTAACAATCGTGAACTACACAGAACATCGTTATCACTTAAAGTCCATAGCTCACACGAGAGTCCGTGATTGATATTCTATGTTGTATGGATGTGAGCCAATATAAAATGACATGTAGCCATTATTACGCTCCCACAGACAGTTGTGCCACTGTCCTAACAGTCCTCTGCCCTTCACCCGCGCATGCTTCTCTTCACTTAGCTCCTAACAGCCAGAAATGCTTTACTGCTTAGCATGTGCTAAAAGTAGCATGTGTGATGTGCGGATTCTGCTTCTGGGCCCTACGTAGTGACTACATCAGGCAACACAAGCGAAGCAACATACCTCCAGTGTGTTTTAACAACAAAATAACCAGCTAAACTGGAAGTTTGGCTTGTCTATACTTCCCAAAGAAACAAACAGATTCCATGCCAGATTTTAATATCTGTGATGCAAGACCATCTTTGTGAATAGATCCACTGTCCGTTCTACAAAGTCCTCCAAATTTTTCATCGCTCTTTCTTTTTCTTGGAGCAATGCATCCAAGCTATCTGGTATTTCGCTCATGTCTCCTCTTCATCTCCTTGTGTTTCAGTCCTTGTAATGCTACTGATCATGGAAAGAAACACACGATCACTGGGGCCGTGTAGTAGTTGGGCTTTTTGTTGCTGTGAAGAGACACCACAGCCATGGCAACGCTTATGAAGGTCTTGCAAACCAAATCACCATTTTCAAGTGCAGGCTGAACAAATGCTCTGGCTTCTGCTGGAGTAACCCTTCGAGCTTACCAGTGTATCTCAGTATTTTACCTGGGCACATTTATTTTTAAACTTTTTGAGTTAAGCAGATAAGGCCAATCGTTTACTTAATTTACTAAGTGCTTATAATGTGCAAAGCCTTAAAGAATGAATAATGCCTCCTCATGGCCAGTAAAGAGAAGAAAGCAGACTTAAAGCAATCTTTGTGTTTATAAGTATATTGATTAATGTAGTCAATCAATTTATTATGCATGGCTAAGCATTGTTCTTCCGACTTAGAATGTAATGTATCCATGAATAAAATGCAACCATCTAAGGTCTCCGGGAATTTATACTTAAAAGGAGGAAGGCAGATAATGAAGACACAGCATCAAGTTCAATAGTATGATAAGAAGTGATAAACGCTATAGAAAAAAGGAAAATAGCAATTTATGAGGATTTCTGGATGATGGGGAAGGCGTAGCCAGGGACTTACAGTTTAACTGGTGCAGCCAAGGTTGAGCTCAAGCGGGAACAAGTCTGAGCAGCTACTGGAAGGGGGGAAGAGTCCAGCAAGCTGCGGAGTGGGGGGCGGGATTAGGATGACAGAATTGTTTCCAGAGCAGATGGCCTCAGTGTGATGGATGCCTGGGTACCGAAAACAGCAAGTAGCAAAAAGCAGAACAAATGGTATAAGATGACATCAGAAAGATGGCAGTGGGTACCCAAGGCCTAATGAGGCTGTCACATGAGAATCACTGGAGAGGAGTTGGAGCCACACAGTGCCCGGCTCAGCTGGCATTTATGAAGACAGCTCTGGCGTTCATGCAGAGGGCAGATGGAAGAGAAGGGACGACGGCAAGAACACATTTTAGGAGGCATTGAAATGAAATGGGCAATAGGCATCAGTGAATTTGCCTGTTCATATATACGACATGAATGCTTTAAAAAGGCATGGTTATAGGCGGGGTTCCTTTGTTTGCCTTTTTCCTACTGTTCCTTCGATCACAAGTGGCAATATTGTACACATTGGCTCACTTTCTGTAGTACGCCACACGAGAGGAAGGGAACTTGATATAAGCTAGAGGAAACTGGGGTGTAGGATCCAGGAAACAGAGTCTCCAGAGATAATACTATGAGGTATTTCGGGGAGCCCAAGGCAGGAGTCTTTATACTAGGGTGCACGCATGCTCCTGCTACAGGATTGCTTACTTATGTTTTCTATCGTCCAGAGCCATTTTTTTCCAGATACACCGAGGGGCCACTTCTTCATGGTTGTTTGGACCCCTGCCCCGATGTTACCCTTCAGGAAGGTGGGAGCTTCCTTGGCTGATCATCACAGCTGCTTTCTTTTCTCTAACCTCTGCCCTGGTTTATATTTTCTTTTGGCACATAAATCCACACCTGAAATTATGCATTTGCAGATGTATTTTTCATTGTCTTTCTGTCCCCTGAGACTGTCATTTCATTAATCTTCTGTCACCTAGAACAGCAGCTACCATAAAACACTCAGTTTTGGGTTTGTTTGTTTTTGTTTTGTTTCTTGTTTTTTGATGGTGGTGGTAGTGATGGTGGTGGTGGATTTCATTGTTGTTGTTTCAAGACAGGGTCTCTCTGTGTAACAGTCTTGGCTGTCCTGGAACTCACTCTGTAGAACAGGCTGGCCTTGAACTCACAGAGATCCATCTGCTTCTGCCTCCCAATTGCTGGAATTAAAGGTGTGCATTGTCACCACCCACTACCAGTTTTTATGACTGATTAAAGCGGACAACTGCAAGGCTAAGAATTGAGTATGGAAAGGGTGTAGGATCGGGAGGGTCATCTGTCTATGTTTTACTCTCATTGGTTAATAAAGAAACTGCCTTGGCTTTTTTGATAGGGCAGGATTTAGATAAGTGAAGTAGACAGAACAGAATGCTGGGAAGAAGGGAAGTGAGGGCACCATTCTCTGAATATGGCATAGGTTACACAAAAAATAAAGCATTGTGTAATCGTATTTCTGTCACCAGTCACGAGGAAAATGGAGTATAAAATATAAGTGCTTAATAAACACCCTGAGTTGGTATCAGTTTCATCTTCTTAGACAAAAGCTGTTTCATTGGTCTTGAGTGCTTAGATTCAAGCTCTTCGTTAAAAGTCTAGAGACATATTTATGAAAGACCATAGTGAAATTCATTTCTTTGTATGCTAACTTTAAAGTTAATAAAGGGATGAGAGATGGTTCAGCAGGAAAGGGTGCTTGCTGTACAAACCTTAATCTTAGTTTCCATGTTAAAAAAACAGGCGTGACTGTATATACCTGTAACACCCGCACTATTAGGGGCAGAGAGCGGAGGATCACTGGGGTTCACTAGCTGCCACCCTAGCTCCAGGTTTGGTGACAGAGCCTGTCTCAAGAGGATGCCTATGAAGAGATGTCAAACAACCAAAGTATAGTTAGTGCACGGTACTGATGCCACATTAAAGAAAGAAAAAGACTCTTTGTCTTGGGATAGTTTAGAACAACAGTGAGCACAAATTTGAATTCTCCATTTCAATTTCCACAGTGTCGCCCTCCTCTCTCTGTTGTCTGTGATGTGTCTTTCTCATCTTTCTGGTGTGTATATGTCTGAAGTCTATCTATGGGAGGTGGGATCTGCCTTGCTGTCTGGCCCTAACAGAGAATTTTGTTCTGTGGTTACTGAACAGCCCAGTATGAGGAAAGAATGCGGAATTTTTTTCTCAGAAAAAAAAAAAATTAACAGAGTTTTACAAGGGACTGACTCCTACTGACCCAGAATTGCATTCACAGATTCAAAAAAGGTTATCAACCTAGAGTCACGTGATGGTTCCAAAA